AAATGAAAATTGGTTTTTAAAATTTTTTTACATGTTTTAAATAAATTTTTGAAACTCTGTTCTTTTTTAGTTTAGAGGGGGAAAACCCTTGAACAAAAAATTCCCAAAGAAAGGGTGATCAAAAACAAAATTTTTATTTCTCCCTTCTAATTTTAAATTTAAAAAAAAACCCCCCAATTTTAAAATCATAAAGGTTTTTTTTTTTTGAATGTTTCAGTTTTAAAAGTTAATTGTTTTCAGTATCAAAATAATAATAATAATGCTAACAAAAGCCTAGAGCTGCTAACAGTATTGAGCCTAGCCGGACAGCGGGACCTTGCACGCTTGCATGGCTCTATACTTGTTGCAAAAGTTTATCTCCTTCAGTTCCAGCAGGATCAATTTGTTTATTTGTTTTTTGTTGACATTTTTACATGTTTTGAGCAACTGTTTATCACTTTACAATTCTGTACTTTATTTCCACTACCAGTTGTAGAAACAAGCTTGTGAAATATGTTTATGACTCTGTTTGCTTCATACCTTTTGTCTTCATAAATTTATGTAGTTTCAAACACGTTCGCTGCAACCATTTTACAATCGTGGCCTGATAATGGAGGGACAAGGATTGAAGGCCTGTGTATGTTTGAAGTGGCAAAAAAGATAAAAGCTAACAGGAAAAACTTCACAATAGATTTTGGGACACAAGTGACAAAATATGAGGTGATTTACAGCCTTGTTTGTTTCAGTGATAAATTGATAATCGATAGACATGCACAACATACGCATCACCGATATACATTGACTATGTTATCATCTGTTCCTTTTTTTGACAAATCCTTCTTCACGCAACAAACAAGCATAGAACATACATGTTTATTGCACTAGAAATGTAATGAAGCATATATTCACGCTAAAACCTTTATTTTAATTCAGATTGTTTCAACAATGCTTTAAGATAATGTGTATGGCAATAATTATATTATAACAAATGCACTGGACCCATTTCTTGTGTACAGTTTTTGCCCCCTGAATTTATCACTATTCATGTGACATGAATGTCTGATTTAAACGCCATAAACATTTTACGATTTACCCTAAAAACATTTTCATCTAAAACTACATTTTTACTAGGACTGGGTGGGAACAAGCGTGGAACCAAAGGGGGACAGTGGTGTTTGGTTTCATAGGAAGAACTTGTACGAACTTAATAAACCGAACTTGAAATACTTGTTTCATGCCACGTTCATGGGTGACGTACAACCTGTTCTTTGTAGCAGTGATCTTCCAGAATTTACCACTATCGGACCCATCATAGCATGTAAGTAAACCTGTCAGTAGTCATGGTGATATGTCTGTGCTCTGTATATACTTAAATCATTATGATTGATAGACTTGACATTGTTCAAAAATGATTGGACGCTGTTGACTACTATCTGAATTTTATTGGACGAGTACACAGCTGCTAAATCTATATTAGATGAGACGCTAACCGAGACGAATAAAGGTTTCGAAGCTGTGTATGAGTTCAGTAGAATCGGTGTGGTACAATGTATAATGAACTTTAAATTTCACACTGTCAATTCGCACCGTAAAACACATGAGATCAAAGGAAACACTCACATTCAAATGTGTTTTTATTATATCAATGTTCCAATAACTTCGAGTAAAGTACGGATTGACATGGAATTTTTGGAATCTGAAAATACGAGGCTAAAGGCTAGAGAGTACAACATTTATTTGATATTGGTTTTGGGCTAATGAAATAAAAACGAGGCTAAATTGTTTAATATTTTAATAGTTTAAATGCTTTCAGTATCAAAATAATAATAATAATGCTAACAAAGGTATACAGCAGCTAACAGTTTAGAGCCTAGTCGGACAGTACAACCTTGCACGCTTGCATGGCTCTATACTTGTTGCAAATATTTATCTCCTTCAGTTGCAGCAGCTTATATTTGTTGACATATTTACATGCTTTAAGCAACTTTTTATGACTTTACAATTCTGTATTTCAATTACTTTACAATTTTACACTACCATTTTGTAGAAACAAGTTTTTGATTCGTTTTTGCAAACCTTTTGTCTTCATAAATTTATGTAGTTTCAAACACGTTTGCTGCAACCATTTTACAATCGTGGCCTGATAATGGAAGGACAAGGATTGAAGGCCTGTGTATGTTTGAAGTGGCAAAAAAGATAAAAGCTAACAGTAAAAACTTCATAATAGATTTTGGGAAACAAGTGACAAAATATGAGGTGATTAAGAGCCTTTTTTTGTTTGAATGATAATCTAGAGTACATGCACAACATACGCATCACTGATATACATTGACTATGTTATCATCTGTTCCTTTTTCTGACAAATCCTTCTTGACGCAACAAATAAGCATAGAACATATATATGCACCAGTATGTTTTATGAAAATGAAGCATAATTTAACTCTTAAAATTTATTTTGATTCAGATTATTTCAACAATGCTTTAAGATATTGTGCAGGGCAAAAATTATATTACAACAAATGCACTGGACCCATTTTTGTGTATAGATTTTTTCCTGATTTTATCACTCTACATGTGACATTATGTCCGATTAAAACGCCATAAACATTTTGCGACCGACCCAAACTTATTTTTATCTAAAACTACATTTTTTTTACTAGGACTGGGTGGGAAAAGCGTGGAAGTGGTGTTTGGATTCATAGGAAGAACTTGTACGAACTTAATAAACCGAATTTGAAATACTTGTTTCATGCCACGTTCATGGGTAACGTACAACCTGTTCTTTGTGGCAGTGATCTTCCAGAATTCACCACACTCAGACCCATCCCGGCATGTAAGTAAACCTGTCAGTAGCCAAGGAGATATGCCTATGCTCTGTACACAATCAAATCATTATGATTGATAGATTTGACAGTGATAAAAAATGATTGTACGTTGTAGACTACAATCTGAATTCTATTGGATGAGTAAACATTTGTTAAATCTTTATCGGACGATAGCCGAGTTGAATATAGGATTCGGAGCTGTGTATGAGTCCAAAAGAATCAGTATGGTACTCAAAAATGTATAATAAACTCTTAATTTCTCACTGTCAATTCGCAAGAAAAAACACTTTGGATCAAAGGAACCACTCAAATTTTGATTATTGATATATTTTGACTCGACAAGCTAGAGAGTACAACATTTATTTGATATTGGTTTTTGGGCTAATGAAATAAAAACGAGGCTAAGCCGCCAGATAGCTCAGTCGGTATTGCTACATGTACTAGCATATTACCTTTCTAGTATTTATTAGTAATTACAATACATTTACCTTTTAGCAGGTACATATGTTAATATAGTCTTACAGCAACTAAAATTCAATAACGTTTTACACACATCTGTTGTTTTTAGACAAATTTTGTTTCAGTTTATACTTGTTTCAGTCCCCTATAGCTTTCCGGCAACTATGAAATCTTCATGGAATATAACAAACGGTATTAAAGTTGATGCAGCTTGTCACTTTGCCGTTAACGAAGATCATAGACCTGAAACAGTCTATTTTCGCATCGACTTTGGGTTGCAAGTAAATGATCTTAAGGTATGCAATAGTATACATTAGCTGGAAGAAGCATGCAGAGCCCTGTGTTAAATGAGCAATTTCATAGTTCATTACCACAAAATTGTTCAAAAGCTTTATTTTTGGTTTACTTATTACAATTGCCCTTTATATTGTGATCGTTTTTTTTTTGCGAATTCTGAATTAAAAACAAGTCACTTTTTTTAAAATTTTAAAGAAACCCTATAAATGAATATTCAACTATCGATTTAATCAAAAAAATGTTTTTTGTTGTTGTTTGAAATTGCAAAGATCTGCATAAAAAACAAATTAATTCTAATTTCATCCCTCTAGAAAATTTTTGGTTTTTTAATTTTTTTATAAATTAAATTTAAATTTTTTAAAGAATGCTAATCTTCTTTGTAGATTGGGGATTTAAAAATTACGTCTTTTGGGAAAAATGGTAGACTTTTTAAAGTCAAATCTATCTGGGTCACATCTGACGGTTAGATGACATTTTAAAAAAATATCAGAAAGGGGGGACACCCAAAAATAATGTTGAGGTTTTCCCCCAGTGGGGATCCGGGAAAATAACAAAATAATACAGGACCATTGCAACAAAAAACCGGTTATTACAACAACAAGCAAGGAGGCAAAAACCTACAAGGTTTTTTACCCCATCCACTTAAAAACCCTTTTAAAATCAGTAAAAATTAATTTTTAAAATTTTTTGTGATGGTTAATATTTTGTCTAATTTTTTAATTTGGGATGTAGGCAAATTGAAAAATTATTTAAAATAGGGAAAAGGTTAAAAAACCCAAAAAGAGAGAAAAAAAACAAAAAAAGGAAGGCCTGGCCTGATATCACAGATGTGTAGGCTGGCCTAGCTCTACATTTGTGACAAAGGCAAGCCACGTTCGGTTCAATCAGGTCAAGAATCAAACCATAGTTAAAGAAAATGAATAACTCAAACATTTACACTTTACCTAAATATACCTATCATTATTATTCTTATTGCTGTATATAGAAAGAAGCAACGAATTAACATTTTGCAGTTAATATAAATTTACATATCTCTTGTTAGACCGTTCTTTATCTAAACCATACAGGAAAACGCAGGCATAGGAAAGTATGTAGCTAGGGACTTTAAGCACAAATTGTACAATCTTTTAGAATTTTAATATTGTTTGCCAAAAGAGTTATATTAATGAAGAAGATTAACTATTTTCATTTTCACTGATAGTATTGTTCCATCTAATTTAGAAGGATCTTCGAATACATTTATACTATTTGCCGTTTTTGAATAATTAAATGCAATGATTAATTCAAGGTGGAAGTTTCAACTATAAAGAGGTCATAAAGAAATCAATCTGGTTTTATCGAGCTCAACGTTCTGGTAATTTACCTGTAGTCGCCAATGATCCTGTACCTTGGCGGGGTGACAGTGCCCTGTATGACGGGCAAAGATGTTGGCAAATTGACCTCACCGGAGGCTGGTATGATGGTAAGAATCAAATTCAACTTAATTACTTTTTTTGGTGATAATTATTATGTAAATAAAATTATAATTGTTTAGTAATGTTTTTTGCGGAGGGATCGATTTTTTTTTTTTTTTTTTTAATTGAATAAAAGTGAATATCTATATGATGTCTATTATGCTTTTAATTCATATTTTTTTGTTGGGTTGAGAGAGGTCTGAGGTTTGGGTCACTTGATACTGCCATGGCTACGAGCTTTTCACCTGTGCATTGAGGCCAAATAACGCCCAGCCGTAAGTGGCAATGACCTTTGTAGTGAACCTGGTCAAAGGTCCAGGGCCTGGATCAGCCGACACATCAGTGTCGTTTGATAATTGACTGCACTGTTTACTATTCAGTCAGTACATATTTTGAAATTTTCTCTAAAATGATAAATGGTTTTGGGACTGATAGATGGTTTACTATTTCAGCTGGTGACTGGGTAAAATTCAATCTTCCAATCTCGTCTGCTGTAGCCGTATTGGGCTGGGGTCTTGTGCAATGGGAGGATGCCTACAAAACAGCTGGACAGTATGACGCAATGCTAGACTGTATTAAATGGCCTCTTGATTTTTTCCTGAAATGTTGGAGAAAAAATGAAAATGAGTTATATGGACAGGTAAAATGCACGATTTTAATGAATTATTCAAAACTTTAACAGACCAATTATGCATTTTCTTTGTTTCATGTATCAAAATTTTGGAAAACAAATACTTTTAGATGCATCCATAACCAATAACGTGTTATTTTGTCACCAGAGTCATAATAGTATGTATTATAATATTCCTTTATGACAATGCGGCAATATGTCACACTTTAGTTTAATTATAATATTCCTTTATGACAATGCGGCAATATGTCACACTTTAGTTTATATAACTATATAATATCCACATATTAATAAGTTGATACAATCTGTTTCAATTCAATCACTGAGATAATCACCTTTATTGAATGTTTTCCCACAGTATTTATATTTTATTATTAATATTTATAAAAGTACATGTACATTTACATGTAACAACTGTACAAATAAGAAACAATATTGTTATACTATGTATTGTAAAAATTAAGGTTGGTAACGGTGGTATTGACCACTATAAAATGATGAGACCAGAGGATATGACACCATCAAACATGCAGCGGCCAGCATACAAGGTGACATCAGCTCGAGGAGGAAGTGATCTGGCAGGCAGTATGGTTGTAGCTTTTGTAGTTGGATCTATGGCATTTAAGATTAAAGGTTGTTTTATATTTTGTCTGACATACACGAATAAATCAACATAATAATGAAAATCCGTTATCACAAAAATAAAATTGAAGCAATTGATGCCTTAAAGAAAGCCCATATACGTCAAGTTTAGAACAATACTTTTTCGAGGTTTTATAACCGTCTCATCATTTAGAAGAGATTTTCAATTCTGCTTATGACGTTAAAACCATAGTAATTTTTCAATTGCAATTAACTTTTAAAATGATTATAAATCCAATCCCGCACATCTAGCTCTTGCTTTCATATTTTTTCTTAAAGTATTCCCCTTTTGTAATATAGTTCAAGAAACATTGAATGAATATAATAAAATGTTTTTAAGCGTATTCGAAGACGGCCGTGGAAGCTGCCTTCCAAGACGCCAAGGACCGGCTAAAACAAAGTACAGCATTTATTAATGAAAATGATGAAATAAAATATACATAAATTTTATTATGTGTTCATACGTCAGTGATCACGGAAGCTGCAATGTGATTCGTTCGTGCTTTTTCCGTAGAAACTACCATGTGGTCCCCAATGAACAACTATGAAACAAAAAAATGAAAGGAGCAATAAATATGTTAAATTGTTTATCTTTCAGACGCTGAATTCTCCGCAAAACTTCTTGACGCCGCCGAGTCATTGTATATGTTTGCTGATAAATATAGGGAAAAGTACACAGCAGAAATAAGTGACGCAGACAATTATTACAGGTTAAAAGATGATGTTATACTTTTTGGTCAACATTGTTTAATGTTGCTGAGTAAATATTTTTTTTTGTCATTATTACTTTAATTTATAATAGTGATGATGTTCATGACATCTAAGGTAAAAAGGATCACATTGAATTTTAAAATTTGCTTCCATAAAATTTGACCTTTTGTACTACCAAATCAGTTCAAGTGGTTACGAAGACGAATTGGTGTATGCTGCCGCCATGTTGTACAAGGCGACCAACAAGGCTACGTACTTAACTGACGCGGAGCAGAAATACAACCAATTCGATTTCGATGGCAAAACACCTTGGGCCTTCGATTGGGACGATAAAACAATTGCAACAAAAGTAAGATATAGCTATGCATTCACTTCAAGTTCTATTGCAGCTTTTGATGCAAATATTTTTCAAGAACTGAAATACTAGAAAATGATTCCAGATAAATATCGTTGGGTTAACAACGATAAAATAGATTGATACATTAAGTGCCTTAGATAATATAAATGATAGCTAAAATGCGTTGCCAGGCTTTCAAATGAAAGCCACCAATGATGTTATGATAGGAATAAATTAATAACAATAACATGAAATGTTTTGATTATGGAACAGATTAATTGCAGGTGCTTCTATTTGAAGCAACAGGCAAAAGTTCATACAAACAAGGTATACAGAACTTTTTAAACAGCTACAGTCCGCAAGGAAACGTGCATTACAGCCCTGGTGGACTTGCTTGGCGCGGAAAATGGGGTTCTTTACGATATACAGGTAGATGATATTAGGCTATTAGAGTTGAAGCATGTTCCGGCATTTCCAATTACAATATAGAATGAAAATTTGAAATCAGTGCATTATGTTTACGCTGGTACAAGATATTCCAGTATTGCTTGTAAAAATGTGAACATGTATCTTATATATGATTAGAATTCTACACCGTTTCTAATGTTGTTACAGTTAATGCTCGAAGATGACAGCGATAATTTCCATGCTTACGTTATATGTGTTACATTATGTTGAATAAAGTATTTATGTCTTGATTACCCATCTTTTGTTGTTTATTTATTTTTATCGAATGATTTTCTGGAAACAAGTGTATTGTAAACGGTAGTTTTGCTATGTTTGGCGTTTGGTCAAAATTGAGCAGTCGTCTTTCACCATTTTCAGATTTCGGTAATTCGAGGTAAATTTTCAGCCCCCCAGCAATTCGAATTCTAAAAGGTTTGACTGTAACTGAAATGAAGCAGTAAATAGGTTCTTAAACAATAAACATTTGTTTCTGACAATATAGATGTTATTATACATTTTAAAATGTATTTTGTTGTATATGATCAAGAATGGATGTAAAGTAACAAGATAGGAAAATACATGACAGTTAACTTCTTTTTTCAGCAAACGTTGCGTTCATCGCACTTATGGCGGCTGATTTTGGGATAGATGCGGAGACTTATAAGAACTGGGCAAAAGGACAGATTGATTACATGCTTGGTGATAATCCAAGAAGCTCTAGTTACGTTGTTGGCTTTGGAAACAATCCACCAAAGCAACCCCACCATAAATCCAGGTACTTCATTGCCCCCCCCCCCCCCCCCCCTTTACTAAATTGTTATTTTACCTTGCAGAAGACTTTTCAATACATATATAGTTTAAACATTCCAAACAATCCCCTACAAGTAAGTCCTGGTATATCCACCTAATAGTAAATGACATCATTCAACTTATAATTATCAACTTGGACAAATAACTTCCATTTAATAAAAATGATCGGTAAATTTTGTTAATTTCTTGGGCTAATCCTAAAAGATTTTTGTCTGTATTCAGGTAATAACTTAAGTTTACCACGTCGATTTTGTTTGCGCGGTGATCTGGATTCATTGAATAACGTGATATAACAACATCAACGTTTGTTTGTGCTGTGTGGAGGCCGTAAATGTCGCCCCGTACATTCGATCAGAGATTATATATTTCCGATCCTTAAAGATCGTTCAGCACGACCTTATTGTTATGTTGTTATGTTTGTGTTTTTTTTATTTAGGTCTATTTGTCTTTTCTAGTTTGGTTGTTCCAATATTCCTACTTGAATAAGGTTGAATCACCCTTAGGATATGTTGCCTGCTTTATAACTTTGTCTTTTGACGTCTTATCTGTGAAATACAAGCTCCATAACTTCTGACCACCTTTCAAAATTCCATTTTGTTTAGTTCCACCCATTGTTGTTTTCGTTTAGGACACACGCTTTCTATTACTTGGGGACCATACTCTACTTTTCAAAGAATGGCACAAAAGTGCCGCATTGAAGGTTCCACGATAACCACCGTATGAACACATCTACGATGCTTCCAAATTCATTATGTCACCATTTTAATGTTAAAATGTTGAATTCTTCTAAAGCTGGTACTAGGGGGGTGTGGGTGGTAGTTTGCACTTGACAGTACCGTCCATGAACCGGCTCAATTAAACCAAGCCTGCAACATTTTCAATTTTGTTGTTTTGAACTTACGTTAGGGAGTCTTATTTTCTCTGTTATATAGCGTTTAACTTTTCTAAGTAAATATTGATTGAAGCTTTGTGGGAAGATTTTTGTCTACTATTCTTAAACATCAAAAAGAGACAACACGATAAAAATGAAGCAATTATTATCCTTGTCATGCCCATTACAGTACATTCGATACGTACATGTATGCACCGTTTGACTCATTACAGGTATGCTTCTTTTATAACTAAATTTGAAAACAAAATTAAATTTACAATGTTCTGTACTAATGAATAACATACAAAAGGCAGCGTGCTCATCAGTACTCACATATACAAGTACATAAACAAGTTGATAAATGTCCAGCACGTGTCAGCCGAAACCAGCAGCTTGTGATTGGGGTGTATTTTCTGACACTAGTAAGGCTAATGCTTTTGTCTTGTATGGTGCACTTGTGGGAGGACCAGATGCCTCAGATAATTACAAAGATGTCAGAACTGACTACGTCACTGCGGAAGTGACGTGTGACTATTAACGCGGGCTTCCAGTCTGCTGTTGCTGGTGAGAATTTAATACACATGTATAACTTATACTTAATAATTTTCTATGTTCAGAAGTAGGTCCTGTAGCTAGAGATATTGATTGAAACGTGAATTGACATATATTTTATCATTCAGACAATATCTAAAATATAATACCTCGCTCTCGCGGCTCTCACACTGCGCTGAAATTGTGCTTCATATACCAGCTATTACTTTTTTTGAATAGTCGTTTGTACCTGCTCCACGTGTATACATATAATATAAGTCTGTATCGAGCTATATAAAATTCTAAAAGTGGCAAGCTATTTAAGTTAGGTTTTATGAGATATTTAAATCTCTCAGTTATATTTATATCTTTTTTTTCAGGATTGGTTCATTTTAAAAACAACTGCTGATGTCCTAGTGAAATTTCTACACCAATTTCATAATAATGTCATTTGATATATACTCAATAAGTTATGTTGTATGTTAACTGTTTTTTTATTCATGCAATATTTCTATTTTTTAAATTTAAACGCTAAAAAACTTTTATGTGGTGAACACTGGTCATCTGTGTCAGACTGTCACTGATAGTTTTTGTTTGCGCTGCTGATTTGTAACAGAAGAACTTAATTGAAAAGGTCACACGTTTGTTATAAAAAAGGATAAAACTCAATTACCGTACTTTTTTTACAATTAAAGTTATTGAACAATTTCTACATATAAAGGTCTTTCACCTCTATTGCCCCTAACCTTCAATTTTAGTTGCATTTTCGTTACCATTTATTTTTGGCCGAAGGCCTCGAAAATCAGTTTGAACTTCCTGCAAAATTAAACAGGAAGAACTCATAGAAGAAGAATTTTCATTGGTCATTTTTAAAATTAAAAACTGAAACAAGGGAGTGACATTGACCATTCAAAAATGAAATGTAACGGATAGTTCTTTGCATTATGAAATAAAGTTTTAGGTAAAATGTAAGGGTAGTTCTTGCAATAATAAAATAAAAGCTTTTTTAACTGTAAGTTTACTCATACGCATGAATTATCGGAAAACACGGAACTTATCAGGTACGTTCATTAAGTGTCAAATATATGATATGATCATTAATGTGTACAACTGATAAAGGGACACGGGATTTTTTTAAAAAATAATTACGATCCGTGTTAATGTTAATTATTTGCATATTTTTTGCATTATTATTTACTAAATGTGAGTGCCTACCGACTACGTACATGTTGGTATTAGAAATTGAATTCTCTTCCCAAAACACAACAATTTCATTAGGGTCACATACACCTTAACAGCGTTCCATTTTCGAAGCCCAGTAAAACCCTCTTGATTATTCTGTCAATTGTAACCAAAATATTTTTATTATAAAACAGGTAACATTCGATTTATTTTCCGTGTAGGTTACAAATCTGTGGATTTATAATACCAAAAAACGTTTCCCATTTTTATACTTTTTTTCAAAATTTCGTTTTGATTTAAAAAAATCAATAATTCTTTGTTAATCCCAAATAGACATTCAGTAATATACATGATATAGAGGAATTTGTTTTAGTTCAGTGTAAGATCGGAATATATTTCACCGAGTGAGCACCAAAAGGTATATTTCACGAGTGGCGCAGCCACGAGTGAAATATGAACTTTTGGTGTTCACAAGGTGAAATATAATTCGATCTTACACTAAACTAAACAAATTTTCTTTTTATTATTTGCAAATAAACGTTTTGAATGAAAATCGCGCCAAATAAAAATACAACGTGACGTCATTTACGACGTCACGTCATTAAGTTGGTACCCAGTACTGTACACGCTGGTATTTCACTGAAACAACGTAAGGGGCTTAAATTGAAAACAGTGAAATTATCAAAGTGGTAATTTCACTGTTTCAAACAGTTGAAATTACCCTCAGTTTTTTTAATTCACTGATATATTTTCTAAAACCAATCGGGAAAAGCATGTAAATAAATTAAATTATAAACTTTTGAAAGAAAAACATTTTAATACTTCCTTTTCAAATTTCGTTTTGATTTTAAAAAAGTCAATAATTCTTGTGTTAATCCAAATTGACATTAGTATATATATGATATAAATATAAACTTTGAAAGAAAAAAAATTAACTTTAATCAAATAAGTACAAAATATGTACAACATGTATACAATGAGTTGATCTATTTGTATGTGGAAATTTGGTTTGGATCCCCACACTTACACACAATTTTTAGTGGGTGGGGGTTATGAACCTATTTAGGTCTAGTTATTACTATTATTATCTTTGTGAAAACCAAGGATGGTTTACAAAGTTATGACAGGAGTTTTATATTTTTTCCCTTTTCATCACAGCTGTTTTCATTAAATTAAAGATAAAAGATAATCATATTTACTACAATTTTGAACAATAACTTGCTCCATAAGTGACAAAAAATCAGTATTGTAAAACAATGTTTATTTTTAGGCGGAACATATAAAAAATAGCGATCTAAACAAAGTATATCATATTTTGCCTGGATCAGATTCACTACTTCCGGGAAAACTGGAGTTTTCAGTCCACATTAATTTAAGTTCCGGGGAACTAGCTAAGTTGATTCCCCTTATATCCTGTTTGTCTACCGGGATCGGATATGAAGGACCGTTGATAAACTGGCATTGCTTCTTTGTTGTGTTTTTCAAGCCCATTTGCTTCAATGCTTGCCGGGAATTTGATCTTTACTTGTTTGACCCCATGTGACATACTGTGGGAGTTTAAAATAAATAACAATATAAGTAATAGGGTAACGTGTGGCATATTATTTCTTCATCAAACATTTATTATGATGACCAACCGGTATCTATTTCACATACAATCGAACAGATTCGGGATCTTATATAATCCCGTTTTATCTTTCCATATAATTATTATTTCATTTTATCCCTCCGTATGTTATCTAAATAGTATTATTTGTACTAATTAAAATCACCAGCTGTATCATTTTCACGGGTCAGACCAATATGTCCATAAACAAATACCCTGCCCCCGTATCAAAGGTCATTTAAATCATATCTTATCTTGTGACACGTCGTATCCTGTTTACTCGTTAAAAACAATGATCATTATACAAAGGATCCTGTTTACTTGGAAAAAAGTTCAGGCTATCCGAATATGTCCTGTACAATTTTGTTATTTAATTAGGTGATTTATAGTAGTGTATAATTTAAATATTTACGTAATTAAAACCCAACTTGCCCATGCAAACAACGTACTTGATAGTATATAAGATAACACTAAATATACTTACACTAACAACAGCCTGAGGGATCATATATGCTGCTGAAATGTCACGCACTGTTTGGCTGTCTCTATATATAGAAGATAATCATCCACCATCCAGTAGTATTAAACATTTGTCTTTATAAATTGCAACATTTTTATCACGTATAGAATAGAAACAACAGGTTTGAAGCAGAGACTGTAAGATGATCTTTCTAAGGTAGGTGATTATTATTTGATATACCTTTATTTAATTATAAATTAGCGGATGTAATAAAACAATTTTATTTTTATTTTGATATGAGAAACAAATCGATTAAAAGGTTAACAACAGCCAAAAAATAAATGATAAAAAAATTGAAGAACATACAATGAATAATTAAAACAATATAAAGAATTTTAAAATTAAAAAAAAAAAAAAAAAAAAAAAAAAAAAAACAATAAAAACAATTCTATTAATTTTAACAATGTTTAAAAAATTGAAGACATAAAAAAGAATATTTCAAGATTTGAATTTATATAAATTGTTTAAAAGAAGAATTTTACGATAATTAAAGTATCAATGTTTTAGAAAGTATTCGCCTCTTATACGAATATTTACTCTTTTTTTTTCCATACTGTCACAGTGAGAAATAATATTAAGGTAGAACGCGACACTTTGCAAACTTTCGAGTAGCGTCTTGAAAATTGACATGCAAAAAGTTGACCATATTTCTGATAAATTTCCGTTGATTTTATTTCAATAGTTTAAGCCAATTTTTGTACACAAGGCGCCAACATTGACCACCAAAGCCCGTTTTTGAACATGACGTCGTTGCGTATCCTAAGCAAAATATCTTATATTTTACAGCATTTGACGGAAATTAGATTTTCCTTTAAGCTGTTTTAAAATTTATTGTTTACGCCGAAAACGTTTGAAGAACGGGAAAGAAAATTGTCAATTTTGTATAGAATTTGACGTTAATTTTAGCCGCATTTTTCGGCTTCAAAGCGGCTTATCAAAAAATTCCTCATTTTTTTGTTTTGATCTTTTTTATTTAAACGTACTTTAAAATGTATACTTAGTCTAAATGACTAAAAGAAAAAGGGATCACCAACTCGATGCATGTTGATTTTCCCCACCCCTATGGATATAAGTCACGCTATCACGGGGCATTTGTTATTTTTGTCATTAAAACGATCGCTCTGTGTCAAAATCCCGCTAGAATCGGAATTTTACGCCATTATGACCACTAAGGAAAATATATGGATACAATAAAGGCTACGGAATTCCGATATTATAGATACGGGACAGTATATCATGCAATACGTACATGACTAATATACCGTGATCCGTACATTCGTAATATACGGGAACTTTGTATGATGCACGTATTTACTAAAATACGGATTTTTTCTTTTAATTACGAGGTCAGTCATTACCAAAATCTGATTTTTTATTGTTGTAAAAAAACGTTTTGTATATGAACTTCAGAATGACCCACTTTCTACAAAAGGAATATATTTAAATTCATAGTCGTGATCGTGACATCTTGTCAGAATACATTTTTAGATGTAAAAACTTGAGTAAATGTCAAATCTCTCTCTGTTCATTACATGTAATGTGGCATACTGATGATAATGGTCGGTGAACAGAACATATAAAACGATCGAAGATCCTTTAAAGGTGTCATACATGTACTGATAATACTTCGACAAGCCCTGTGATAGTTAAGAATTTTGTTGTTTACATATTAGCAAGTTTTCGTTAGACTTGCTTACAATTCTTGTGCTCAGTAACACGTTATACTTGAAATATACCAGCTTTTAGACTTTATACATTAGTTTCAGTTTTTGCTTCTGTTCAGAAATCGAGTATTATATCAATCAGAAAATTGTGACGTGCTCGTATGTTATGTATAAGCAAAAATATTCAAGCCTAAATTCCCAACTGAAGATTTTAAATATAATATGCCTTTTATATCGTCAGGTCTCATTTAAATAATAAGCATTTACAGTGGACATTGTTGTTGTTTTTTCTTATGTATACAGTAAACGCTCTAGAAACAATTCTCTCCTGATAAGCTGAATCATTATGTGCCGACATTTGAAGTTCTCGAAACGTATCTGCATACGTCGAATTTCGTTAAAAAATTCTCAAGGGGTGTGGGGGAAAATAAATCACAGTACCGAAAAATTTGAAGTCGGTGGACCCCCTAATTTTTTTTAAGTTATTTAACTAATAACGGGGACCATAATCAGAAATATGGTCAACTTTTAGCATGCCAATTCTCAAGACGCTAATCGAAAGTTCGCAAAGTATCGCGTTCTACATTTATTAAGCTAACCAGTTTCTTTCAATTTGAAAATCCAAGTATACTGATTTGCTTAGAAATTTATCGAGATGCAGTTTTAAAATATGGTAAATTTAGCTATGGTCTATGCATTAGCAAATGAAAGGTACAAATATATATTTAATATTATTTACAATTTTTTATGCATTGTTATAACTACATATGAATTGTACCTATTCATACAGCCTCACATCTTTTGTATTTTATTTAGACATATACATCTACATACAACTTCATAAGCGTCAATGATTTCCAATTTGTTTAGTTTCGCCAATTGTTTTCGCGTTTAGCGCATTCTTTTATTTACTTGGGGACCAAACGCTGGCATATGTACGGATGAACAACGGTGACATGTGTGTGTATGTTTTTATTTATCTCGGACGCACGAGATACTATGTCGTGGCCTCGGATAACCGCGTATGAAATAAATGTTGAATTCTGCTGGAACCTGTGCGAAGAGGCGTGGACGGTACATTAAAATAACCCCTACCGTCCATGAAAGGCTCTTTCGAGCCGCGTCTGCAACACTAACGTTTTTGCCGTTTTGAGCGTTCTTTAATGTTTTTACACTATTTCATTAAATACGGTATACGATTTAATCTCAGAAAAAAATATGATTCTAAATAAGATATAATTAATGATGGCCAAAGATATAGTGGGTCATGCATAAAATATTGAAATTATATTGTATATCAATAATGAAACTTGTGTGAAGAGTAGCAATTAATTAAAAATGTCTTTAAATATATTTTCTTGTCTAATCATATTTGTCTAATATTCAAATTGTTGTTTAGATAAGTGCTGACTTAACTACAACATGGTAACTTTTGAGAAACAATTAAATGCACATTTACTCTAATAAATAAGTACTATTTTGTCCTTTGATGGAAGGGAAAATCTGTGTTTAATAATTATATTTAAATCCTGGATTGAGGACATGCTATAAGAAGAAAAACAAAAGTGTCAATATTTAAGAATAGTTTCAAGAAATACTTATTTAATCAACTTAAGCACAGTCCGTATGTATTATATATGCAAGATACGCTCTTTATATTCATACTTGTGTTTTTTATTATTATGTTTTCTAATAATTGGTGTCTGTCTTAGTTTCAAGTTTTTTGACTGTGTTAATTTTGATAATTTTGTAAGTTAATTTTACTTTTTAAATTGCAGATTAAAATGGTGCACTGATGAAAGTATTATGTTTAAATGGATAAAATAAAATGAATTGTAAATGAATGTTCCAGTTTGGTTGTTAATATGTTAAAAAATTGTGATAACCATTTAATCATTTTTTTTTACATGTTATATTTTTTTAATTGATGTTTGTTCTTGGTGTGTGTGTGGTGTGTGTTTATTTTTTATTTTAGAAGACCGCATTGTTAATAAGATGTTGCAACATGTATAAGTCTTAATGTGTTACCGTCGGTAAATAAAGTTATTGTTATCTTTATTATTATTATTATATGCTTATCAAAAAGCAGCTTTATTCAGACAAAAATATTTTCTTTTGTAGGTTATTAATTGCGGCGATGCTTTTACTTGTTTGTAATGGCCAAAATGGAAATTATGTGGTCTTGAAAACACAGAAGAAAAAGAAGTTCACGATACTCAGAGCAAAATGCGTGTATAAACTATCCAAACCAGCTGCACAAGTTACCTTCGATATTGGATTTGACATACCCACAGACAAATTCAAGGTAACAATTGAATTGACAGCAATATATACCATGTACATGATAAATGCCTATTTTCTTGGTGTGTTGTGTTATGCCTGATTGAAGGATTTGGATGAAAATAAAACATTGAAAACAATAAAGAGATATAAGGGTGTGTATATTATGAGTTAGTTAATTACAAAAAGGAGTTCGTATTCCTTGTAATATCATATATCAATTATAGGTTTTTTTGGGAAATGCAGAAATAAAATACGTATCAAATTGATTATTCAACCTGACGAAAGGTAATAAAGCGAAGCTTGTATTGATATCTAAATTTGTGTTGGTTTTGATCTATTTGTCCTATGATTAAAATTTAACATAATTTATATTCTGCATTTCCCAAAATCTATTTTTGAGTTATTTTATATGGTTTGTGATACAAACATTGAAATAATCATCTAAACCTAAGTGACATTGATAAACTTGCGTTGCCAGACCTCGCAACATTTCCGTAATGTCTTAGCAATTAAATGTCAAATGCCAAGAGGGCATATCAAGCGTATCGTATCCCCTTAAAATGCTTAGTTTGTTATTCAGTGTAAAATACAATTCCACAAACGTTTTAAGCAATTCATGTTTTTATGTGTTTTTTTAAGATAAAAAAACAACAACAACAACAAAAATAAAATTTAAAAAAAAACGCGTGGATAATAAGAAAACTTCGATAAATTGATATTCCTGCTTTTATTTTTATTTTAATTCATTAAGATATTTCGTATAAAATTAAAAGATGCGTAAGTGATGAATGTAAATACTTGAATCACTAAACAATTATTATATAAAGATTTAATATTATGCAAGGCAATATATAAAAATGTAAGACTATTCCATGAGCCTACAAAAATGAGGTAATGAGGTATGCTTTTCAAAGTAACTGATATTACATTTTTAGTCCAAGCAAGCGTCTGTCACTGGTAAAACCGGAAATGTGTATTCACTCATTAATACAAAGACTGCAAAAAAGAAGTTTACCGTTGCATTTTCGGTGATTTACAAAGGTGAAACCGTGCCACAAGGAACATGCTCGCCTCTTACATTACAAGGTTTGTAAAAGAAAATCAAGTATTCGTCATTTTCTAAAAGTCATTGTTTTATATGTTCACTACATCTACATTTTCTATAACTTTTAAACTTCCCTGCGCGTTTGAACATTGCGTTGTTTTCGTGCGACATAAACAAAGAATTTTTATTATAACAATTTAAACAACAGGGATTACAAAATTGAAAAAAACATTGAGATTTATTGAAAGTTTAACTGTTAAGCAGCACAAATGTCTGGCAATTATTTTGTATTTCCACAAATGTTGTGTCTAGTTCAAATGATTTCATTTGATTTATTTTTGCTAACAAACAAACTAAAATGAAGATTTTTTTTATAATATAAGCAATGTCATAAAAACGTCAGATAAGATTAACTGATAAAAGTTCACTGACTTATTTATTTAATTATTTTCAGTTTCAACGGAGGCCCCAACGTTTGGAAAAAATTTTTCTTTCCCCGTAATAATTTTTAACAACGATTTTAAGCCCACCAAACTGATTTTTTTTGGAAAAAAGAATTTTTAATAATCCAAAACTTTTTAAAAAAAGGAACAGTCCATTTAAAAATATAAAAAATATTTTAAAACCCTAAGGGGGCAATTTTGTGGGAAAAGCCGGTCCTTTATATCCCTTTAGGTTTGGACCCCAACTGGTTTTCAAAATGCTAATCCTTCCAGTTTTCCAAAAAGAGTATTGGGGTTTTTTGGAAATTTTACATAAAAAATTTTCGCCAGTACTTTTCCAAACCCCTCCAAAATTTTTGTAAATTAGATTTTATCTGCCCAAATTTTTCCTAAACCCTCTTTTTGGGAAAAAAGCCTTTGTCATATATGTTTTCCCTTTTTAAAAATTTTTAAAATAGTCCCTTATCAAATTTTTTGTAGTTTTTAAAACCGTTTTCCCGCAAACCATTTTCTGTGGGCCTTTAAAGGAGGGAACAAGGATTGAAGGCCTGTGTAGTTTTAAGGTGGCAAATGAAGAAAAGCTAACAGAAAAAATTCTTATAGATTTTTGGGACAACAAGTGACAAAATTGAGGTGATTAAGAAAATTTTGTGTTGTATTTGAAGATTCACAACATAAATTTGTGATTGATATACCCTAACACATATGTTATCTTTCTGCTTTCATTTTTTGGTAAAGTTCCTGTAGCAGCAAAAAAAAAAAAAAAACCGGAATTTTTTTCGAACATAACTGTACTTATTTTGTTTATTGAAATTAGGGCCTAATTTAATGTTAAAAAAATTTAATTAAATTCAGATTTGTTTAAAATGTCACAACATTATGCGTGGCGTAGTCATTATAAACAAAATAAAATGGACCCTTTTCTTTGCGAAAAGTTATTTTCTGTTCTATTTTTAAACTCACTTGTAAAATGTCAGTTGGAGTGTGATGCTCTATTAATCACCATATACATTTTACGATTTACCTTAAAAAATTATCTAAAATTATATTTTTGTACTAGGACTGGGTGGGAAAAAGCGTGGAACCAAAAGGAGACAGTGGTGTTTGGTTTCATTGGAAGAACTTGCACGAACTTAATAAACCGAATTTGAAATACTCGTTTCATGCCACTTACATGGGTGACGTACAGCCTACTGTTCTTTGCAGCAGTGATCTACCAGAATTCACCACAACCACCCAAGCACCTGTTACAACTACCCAAAGCCCTGCAACAACAACGAAATCACCCGCTACATCATCGGAAACCTCAGTGAAAACAACCGAGGAAACATCACTGACTACTCGTACAGGTTAGTAGTCCAATAAAAAAATCGTTGAATTTTCCAAACTAATACCTTCATGATAATTATTATTCTTGTGACATTAGAAAAATAAATAAATGAGATATGAATTTCTCTTTAGAAACATTTAAGTTCTTGTTTGTAATAAGTTCTTTCTCATAACACAGTATATAAAGCCTCATTTTAATAATGACAGAATATTATATTAAGATTATACATGGTAATTAATGTTAAATCGATTTTCTTCTCCATTTAGTTTTGTCACTCGGACCCATACCAGCATGTAAGTAAACCAGTCAGTAGCCATGGAGATATGTCTGGTCTTTACACAATAAATACATAACAATAATGTGGCAGACTTGACATTGATATATAGTGATTACACTGAATCAGTATGATACTCAACAATGTATAATGAACTCTTAATTTCACATAGTCAATTCGCAACGAGAGAACACATGACATTGAAGATTTCACTTAAAATCAACTTTTTATCTATTACATTTTTACGGTACAATTACTTCGAGTACAGTATGCACTCGATACAGAACTTTTGGACTCACACAATAAAAACGGAGCTTAATAGAGTACAATATGGATTTGATATTGTATTTGGGCTATTAAAATGAAAACAAAGCTAAATAGAGTACTGTGTTTGGTATGTTTGGTAAGAATTTCTGGAAATCAAAATGAAGCTGAATCGAAAAAGACTGAAATCCACTTAATAATATGATCTTCTCGTATATTAGAACATGAAAAAAGAAAATGCTGGGATTTCATTGGTTTCATTTTATAAGATGTGAAATAAATGAGCTTATTTTTTCCCTTAGTATAGTGAATGGACAACTGCATAATCATAAACCTTTTATTCACAAATTTTATATCTATTAACCTGAAAACCATCAACAATAACGTTATATATCTATTAATTAATAAAACATTAACAAGTTTTATATCTTCTCATTAACAATCTATTTAGTAAATTTTACCTTTTTAAAAATAAGGGATTTTAAAAAAATTTTTGAAAACCTTTTAAATTAAACAGCCCAAAAAAAAAATTGTAAATATAAATTTTTAAATTTAAGCATTTTATTTAAAAATTAATATTCTTCCTATTCATAACCCATTAAAATATATGATAAATGGGAAAATAAACCATTTTCCCGCTCCCCTATTTAAACAAAAAGAAAAATCAGAAATTTGAATTTAAATGAACCAAATTTCATTTTTTTAATCTATAAAAAAATTACATTGTTTTATACTTTAGCTAAAATTTTAAAAAAGGTACAAAAGTAAAAAAATAATGGGAAAAGGCAAAAAATTTCAAAAAAAGAACCATATTTTGGGATACAACTGAAAAAACCCAAAAACAAAAAGCAAGAAAAAATTGGATTAAAAAAAGGATCAAATTTGGCCCCAATTTTCAATTTTAATCAATTTTAAAAGCACATTCTTTAAAAATTATTTTTTCTTTTTAAAATTTCATTTAAAAATTTTTTAAATTTGTTTTATTTGTTTAAATTTTAAAAAAAAAATCTATTAACCCCCTCACTCATGGGGAATTGTGATATTTTTAATTTTTATTTTGAAACCCCCACCTTAAACTTATTTTAAAAAAGGAAAACCCGGGCACTAATTAGGGGGCAAAATACATGTACTTATAATTTGATAATAAATTTCAAAACTAATATAACTAAAGCTATACTAAAACTTTTTCTAATTTGTATTTAGAAAAAAGATGAAAGGGATGTATATGTGGTTAGTGTATACTAATTAAAAATATAGTACTTAAAACTTTTAATTTCAAAAACAAAAATAAACTATAATAATATACTAGTACATTTATTTACACGAGACTTATTTAAAAGTAATCCCAGTCATATTAATAAACTTAAGTTTAATCTTATCATCAAATTATTGGAACTTAAACGGCAGAAAAGAAAGAACAAACAAGTAGTATTGAAAACAACAATCAACAGTAACGATAAGTGACTAAAAATAGAAAAAAAAAAACGGAATCCTAAAGAAAGTCCAACATGAAAATGTTGAACCAGCCTGTTCATGGACGGTAGTGGTTATAGCAAGGTACCGTCCCCACCTAGTTAATCCTAACTGTCGTGATGTATTTCTCTCTTATTCTGTGTAATGTCAGACAATACTTTATCATCTGATTTGCATTTCAATTGTCAGTACAAATCACCCTGATACATAACACATACATAACGTGTATGTTGATATTTTCACACGAAAAGTCTATTTCTAAGAATGTCGTTTGTCCCCAATCAATACGTTCAGGCTCGAATATGCCAGCACTGGCATAACCAAAGTGTCAAATCAATTAAACATGTCTGCTGAGACAAGTGTATGTTTTGAAATAGAGTACAGAGATCCGATTGGTTTGAGTTCGTTCCCAACCAATGTATATATAATTATTGATCGGATGGAGTCGCCTACAGTTATAACTAAGATAGTTAAATTGATCTACTATTTCAAGTTCGCCACTCTCATATGTCTATTTTTCAAAATTTCCAGATGGTTGACGTTTTTTAAATATCGTAATTTTAAACTCCATTTATCACAGTACCTATTAACTGTTTAAGACTATCGCTTGATAGTTGTTAATCATCAATTGAACCGGAAAATATAACAGCGTCGTCAGCTAACATGATAAGTAAAAGATAATTGATCAAGGTCTATACCCAAATTTAAATTTTCTTTTAAATAAATTGTCATTTATGAATAGATATAACAAAATTGGTGGGCATATTTCTCATTAGCATTATAAAACAATGCATACGAAAAATTCAGAAAGTGAAATGAATGTATAAGACACGATGTTACATTGTATCACACGGGCCGTAACATTAGTAACAATTTACCGTCGGACCAATTAAAAAAAATTTGACTTTGCTATGGACGACATATTAAGTCATTTGCTTTCTTAAGATCCAAGAATAATCAGAAACGTTCCTTGTTTCTTCTTATATGATACAGGATGACTTCTTTGAGCACTAAACATTGATTTGAATCCAAATTGCGCGTCTGGTATTATATCATTTTCATCAGACCATCTTTTTCAGCCTTTTGTTCATTACAAATATAAGCAGTTTTGAAAAGCAGCTTGCTTGAAAAACATATTATTTACATGTGTTTTGTTATTATATGTTACGACCAAACAAAACTGCAATTTCAATAACATTTTACGTACAAGTTAGTTTTATACAAATTATATGTAGCTTTCGAATCGGTATGTACCATATTTCAGCATTTTTGTTTCAGTTCCATATAGCTTTCCGGCAACTGTAAAATCCTCATGGGATGTGACTGATGGTACTAAAATTGACGCAGCTTGTCACTTTGTCGTTAAAGAAGATCATAAACCTGAAACAGTCTATTTTCGCATCGATTTTGGGTTGCAAGTAAAAGAGTTTAAGGTATGCAAATTACATCAGTTTGAAAAAGCATACACACACTTGTGTTTATATTAAGTAAGTAAAAGGTAAAACGACTTCATAACAACTCGGATACTGTATGCAAACGAGCTGTTTCATTGTTCATTATTTCATAAATTTGAAAAGTAGAATCGAGGTTTCATCATGAATTTGTCTAGAAGATTATCTGTTGTGTTTGCAATTGTTGATTTGATAATTAGAATAAATTATATTACTAGCACATCTTTATTGGCAGACTTGGGTTTTGAAAAATATACAACCCACAGGGAACACTGGTAGTAGTTTCTTCATGTCAAATCTAAACTGGATCACATCTGACGAGTTAGAGGTGACATTCCAAGCAATATATCCTAAAGGGGAGACACCAAACATTATCTGTAACAGTGATTTGCCACCAGTAGGAGGATCCACTAAAGTAACAAAATCAACTACCGAGGCACCAGCAACTACGGGTAAATCTGGAGGTACAACAAAGGAACCGGTGACTACAACAAAAACATCCAGGGCGACAACGCAGCCGCAAGGTATATCCTGGCCACTTGCAATCCTTTTAATCTTATTGCTGTACAAAGAAACAAGCGACGAATTTAAATTTTGCGGCACATCTCTCTAGTTTGAACAAATTTACTTGTACGATAGCAGGTATAGGACAGCATCAAGCTAGGGACGTTTATCATTAATTGTAAAGTCTTCTAGATAAGTATATTTTTTGTCATATAACATTATTATGTGTGTGATATTTAATAAAGAATTTTGCTTCCACTGATAACATTTGTTTTTGAAGGATCGCATTCTCTATGAATAAATTCATACTTTATGTCGTTTTTAAAGTAATTATATGGAATGGTTAATTCAAGGTGGAAGTTTCAACTATAACGAGGTCATAAAGAAATCTATTTGGTTTTATCGAGCTCAACGTTCTGGTGATTTACCTGTAGTCGCCAATGATCCTGTACCTTGGCGGGGTGACAGTGCCCTGTATGACGGGCAAGATGTTGGCATTGACCTCACCGGAGGCTGGTATGATGGTAAGAATCAAGTCCGGGCTTTCGATGGATCACATTTTGCAAGATATTTAATCACTTTTGTTAAAACAACTTCAACATATTGCTTCAACTGACTAAAGTAGATACTAATGTCTATGAAAACTGAAAACTAATTTTGTATTCGTAACAGTATTATCTGAATAGAAAACAGCAGTTAACAACATCTGTTGACTACTTCGTCTACTTGGCAGAAGTCCATAATTATGTGAGATGATAATTAAATATTATACACTCTATATGTCAAGATTAATAATGTAAGTCTTATCAAAAATATTAACCTGCTAGTACTAGCGACTGAATATACCTATGCGATCAGTGTATTTCTACCGGCACATCCGTGCCATTAGAGCATGTCCTGCACTATTCGCTATTCTGTTAGTACATACTGTATATTTTGAAAATTTCTTTCAAAATGATAATTGTTTTTGTGATTTAAAGACAATAATATGGATAACTCTACTTAAGATAAGCAACTTGGTACCAAATAAGAAATTAAACTCATCATTTGGTTTATATTTCAGCTGGTGACTGGGTAAAGTTCAATCTTCCAATCTCGTCTGCTGTAGCCGTATTGGGCTGGGGTCTTGTGCAATGGGAGGATGCCTACAAAACAGCTGGACAGTATGACGCAATGCTAGACTGTATAAAATGGCCGCTTGATTTTTTCTTGAAATGCTGGAGAAAAAATGAAAATGAGTTATATGGGCAGGTAACATGCACACGTTTTACTGACTTTTGACGAAAATATCGAAATCAAATATTTCTTTGTAGAGAAATAAGTATACAAAGCATAAAAATCAATAAGATTTAGAATTTTAGTCGCCAGACATCTGTTATTCAAGATTTGTTTATGTCAATGTGGCAAAATGTCACAATTTCATTTTGTATATTTACAAATATCAGATCTACATATTAGTATGTTGATACAATCTGTTTTAATCAACTGAGATAATAACATTATTTGAACTTTTCCCTACAATATTTATATTTAATTATCAATATTGATGACGGTACAACGTAAACAACTCTATAAATAGCTAGCAATATTGATATACTATTTATTTTCTTGTCCTGGCTAATTAAGGTTGGTAACGGTGGTATTGACCACTCTAAAATGATGAGACCAGAGGATATGACAGCATCAAACATGCAGCGACCAGCATACAAGGTGACCTCAGCTCGAGGCGGAAGTGATCTGGCAGGCAGTATGGTTGTGGCTTTTGCAGTTGGTTCTATGGCATTTAAGAATAAAGGTTGTTTCACATTTTGTCTGACATACACAAGTCAATTATCAAAATTAAAAAAAAATCACCAATTAAAATTGTAACAATTGATCCCTTAAAGAATCAACACGACATGTTTAGAAAATTTTTAATTTTTACAACCATAAAATCATTCAGAAGAGATGTTTATTTCTAGTATTGTGCCGTTAAAATAATTTTCATCAACTTTTGAAATGACTATTAATCTAATATCCACAGAAAGGGTCTTGTCAAAACTATAAAATACCTCGTTTGTGTATATGAATCAAAAGTACGCTTTTCTTATTTTTTCTTCGTAGAAACCGCCGTGTGGACAACAAATAATAGAATTAAGTTATACTCCCAGTTTTAATTATCACGGATATCCATGAAGAAAAGGAAAGTGCTATAATAACCTACGAAATAAAAAAAGTGATTAGAGCCATTAAATGTGACAGTGTTCTGTTTACTTTTCAGACCCTGCCTACTCCGCAAAACTTCTTGACGCAGCCGAGTCATTGTATGTGTTTGCTGATAAATACAGGGAAAAATACACAGCAGAAATAAGCGACGCTGGCAATTTTTATAGGTTAAAAGAAAATGACATTGTAATTTTAATTCTTTTCTGGTCAATATTGTTTTATGTTAGCTATGTAAAAGTACTCGACTTTTGGCATCGCAAACTATTGATGATGCTAATGACATTTAGAACGAGTTCAAACAAATATATTTTAAATGTATGTACGGGTTAAATGTGAAGCAAAAGTAATAAGATATATATATATGCATAGGCCGCAGATGAGCTCTATGAATAATGTTTTTATTAAAATGATCACATTTGTTTTTAAAAAATCTCTAATTTATATGTTTTACTAAATTAGTTCGAGTAGTTACGAAGACGAATTGGTTTATGCTGCCGCCATGTTGTACAAAGCGACCAACAAAGCTTCATACTTAACTGACGCGGAGCAGAAATACAACCAATTCAATTTTGATGGCAAAACACCTTGGGCCTTCGATTGGGACGATAAAACAATTGCAACAAAAGTAAGACATAGCTATATCATCTTCAGCTCTTTTGCAACTTATCATACAATTATTTATCAACAAACAAAATAAATCATTCAAAATGAATATAAATAACATAGTAGCATTTACAACAGCAAAATAGATTGATACAATAAATACCTTTACCTATAATGCTATTACATGTAATTAAAACAAAAATGCGGCGCCCGGTTTTCAAATGAAAGCGACCAATAACATTGACCAATATAGTGAGATTAAATTACATTTAATTGAACTGATAAGCATATGGAACTTCTTGCAGGTGCTTTTATACGAAGCAACGGGCAAAACTACGTACAAACAAGGTATACAGAACTTTTTAAACAGCTACAGTCCGCAAGGAAACGTGCAGTACACCCCTGGTGGACTTGCTTGGCGGTCAAAATGGGGTTCTCTGCGATATACAGGTAGGTACATGGCTAACAGATTTATTCACTTTCAAATAAGTACCGGTATTTGCAATTAAATGCAAATTTAATGAAGTAGTACTTAAATACCGGTAGGTTCTTAATAAACAATCGTTTGTATCGTACTAGATGAATATTATCATAAAATATATAATGTTGTATATGATCAACATTGTTGTAAAGTTACCAGATATAGAAGATTTAAGAATGATGGTTAGGTTAAATACTACATGACAGTTAACTTCTTTTCAGCAAACGTAGCGTTCATCGCACTTATGGCGGCTGATCTCGGGATAGATGCGGAGGCTAATAAGAACTGGGCTAAAGGACAGATTGATTACATGCTTGGTGATAATCCAAGAAGCTCAAGTTACGTTGTTGGTTTTGGAAACAATCCACCAAAGCAACCCCACCATAAATCCAGGTACTACACAGTCCCAATAAAATACATTTAAACTAAATCGTTACTTAACCTTGCGGGAGATTTTTCAATGAAAATATAGTTAAAGCATTCCAAAAGATCCAACACACGTGTTAGTAAATGACATCATTCAACTTACCCGTTGAACTTCAACAAATGATTTCCATTCTTCAAAAATGGTCGACTGCATCGGTAAATTTAGTTAATTTCTTGAGCTAATTCTGAAAGCTTTAATTTTATGTAATCTGGATTCATGAAATACATTGATTTTCACAGCGTTTTTTAAGTAAATATTTCTTGAAGCTATGTGGGAAGCATTTGTCCTAACAGAAATCAGTACTATTCTTAAACATCTAAAAGCAACAATAACATTAAAATTAAGCATTTATTAACCAAGTTATGCCCTTCTAACCTAGTTATACTGATTAAAATATTTCATAGTATGTAACGTTTGACTGATTACAGGTGTGCTTTGATTTCTCAATTTAGATACAAGAGCAGATCTCCAATGTTCGGTCATAATGCATTTCATACAATAAAAAACGCTCAAAATATAATGACGCTTTTTATTCACATACAAGTTGATAAATTTTTCAGCACGTGTCAGCCGAAACCAGCAGCTTGTGATTGGGTTGTATTTTCTGACACTAGCAAGATCAATGCTTTTGTCTTGTATGGTGCACTTGTGGGAGGACCAGATGCCTCAGATGATTACAAAGATGTGAGAACTGACTACGTCATGGCGGAAGTGACGTGTGACTATAACGCGGGCTTCCAGTCTGCTGTTGCTGGTGAGAATTGAATACATGTATAACTTTTCCTTTAGTTTTGTCAATATTCGGAAATTAGTCCTGTAGCTATAGATATTGATTAAAACGTGACTCGCCATGTTTTGTATTATTCAGACTATATTCAAATCTATTAGATCTACACATATAGATAATAATTAACACCGTCGCGTAAATATCTAAAATCTGTATGTAGCTTTATAAACTTTAAATGCAAGCTATTTTCAATCTTTGATAAATATATGTACCATATGGAGAGTGATATATTCTTAATCTCTCAGTCATTTATATTTTTTCAGGATTGGTTCATTTTAAAAACAACTGAAGTTCAAGTGCAATACAGAAAACAAATTTCTAGAATTATGTCATAATATGTCTCAATAAAATATGCTGTATTGTAAATTGTGTTTTTGTTTTATTTTCTTCTCAGTCGGCCAGAATCTTTTTTAATAGTTTACGTTTTAAGACTTATTTAAGACTTTATTTCATATTTTCACGCGCACGCACACACATGCACGCACACACAGGAATCGATAAATAATGCGGTTATACTTCAAAATACAAACAATCACTTCAAATTACAAACAATCACAAAACAAAAAAGAGCAAAATATACCACCACCACCACCACCACCACCAAAACAACAACAACAACAACGCAGTGGGCTTTAATTGATTTGAAATTTGGATCCCGTAAAACTACAAAATGCGAAGACAGCAACATAGGTATGATGTTTGAAGAAATAAAGTAAAGAAAGTTTCTAACTTCATAATCACGATAGCAATGATTAACGAGAAAAAATTACAATACAATCACCTAGAAAATTATTGAGCACGACACAAGATATGAAACGTCTGGCATTCCACAAAAAAATGCCAGACGAAACTCCCAAGACATTCTAATATTGAGACGTTCCATTCCCAAGACGGTTAACATCTAGACGTTGAACACTCCTTTTTTCGATTGTATAGACGTTTCAACATCAATTACTTTATTTCAGATATTTAACAGAACATTTAACACATTTTCTTTCATTTCTAATGAAAATTAAATTTAGTGTTGCATTTTATTATTTTCAAGTGTTTGCTATTTTGAAGAAAATGTTAATTTTAATGAATTTTACAGAATCTGCTTAAACTGTATAATTACAGTATGCTATAATAGAAATACTGTATTGTATAAAAAAGAGATAGAGATAGAGATAATCTTAATTTATAGTCGGTTACATAAAAACATATAAACATTAGCTATATAAGCTATTTTCCGACATAACTGACTATCCTTTAACAATACAAACAAACAATCTGTATAAAAGAGAAGATATAAAAGTATTAAGAAGATCAATGTACATTTATGAATGACTCTGTAAAACAAATAAGATTTATATTATAAGCACATATAAATATGGGTCGGATAGTATTAATTGATTAAAAGCAAATATAATACTACAATCAAACATCACATAAAATTACACCATACAAGAAATCTATTTATGTACACAACCCTAAAATCAGAAATAGATTTTTTTTTAATTAAATTTTTTTTTAAAATAAATTTAAAATAAATGATTCAATCTTATTTCATTTTAATATGGTTGACCTAAAGTCCAGCATGGTGCTTGAGCATATATCAGTAGCAGCGTCTGATATAATACTCAATCATGAAAATATGGGTGTAACTAAAACTTGTACAAGCATCATAATAAAATTTGAAATGTTTGTGTAACAGTTGCTGATCTGAGCTGGCCTAGACAAATTCATGGTCTCGGTTAATATATTAATTAATTAGAACCAAATTAAATTAAAAGTAGAAATAAAAAGGTAAATAAACAAAACAAAACACAAAAATAAAATAGACTTTAGAAGCTATTGTCCCCTTAATGGGATATATGAAAAGCTGATCAGCAGCTGCCACACATTCAAACGCTAACACACACTGACAAATGACTATACAAATATACACACAAGAAGCACATGAAAAGCATATAAAGGATAATATGAAAAAATAATAAATACAGGCCTTATACAGCATTTCTTTTGGCAGACAAGAACACAGAAAAAAAAACAAAAGAAGCATGCAGATTCACTTGATTCACTTGATGCAAAACTCAACAAAAAACATAACACTTAGACACACATAGAACATTTGCATTTGAAGCCACTCCAGGTTTAGATAAGCCTCCGAAATTCACCGTAATCAGTTTCTGTTTTTAGTTCATTCGGGAGGCTATTCCAGACCTGGGTGGCCTCATAACGAAAGCTTTTCTTACCATTAGTCTCTGTGTTTACTCTAGGAACTTCAAGTGTGTTGTTATTTCTAAAAGAGTAATAAGAGGTATTTACTGTAATAAGTTCTTGAACATATTTTGGTGATATATATTTTGTAAACATTTAAAAACTTCAATAGCTAATTGTCTTAATCTACTGAAATGTAAAGTTGGCATATTAGCTTTACTTAAAAGAAATGCATATGATGAGCTGTAATCCTCAAAAACTATCTTCAATGATCTATGTTGTAACTTTTCAAGTTTTTCAGTATTTTGTTTACTACAAAAATGCCAAACTAAAGGACAATAGTTAAAATTTGAACGAACAAAGGATTTGTAAATTAACAATCTAGTATTTTGATTTAAGAATTTACTCAGTCTAGCAAGAATGTTGATTTGTTTTGCAGCCTTTTTGCAAATGTTAGATACATGCAAGTCAAAATTTAGTAAAGATCGAGTCTATTTCAACACCAAGAAGTTTCACGCTTTTTTCACAGACAATTTCTGTACTATTAAGACAAAAAGAGGTTAATTTACTAGTTGTTTGTTTTCCAATACAAATTGCCTAAAATTTGTCCGGATTGGCTTGCATTAGATTATTATCAAACCATTTTATCATAGATAAACTTTCATTTTCCAGTATAGATTGTAAAGAGTCAATATTGGTATCACAGTAAGATAATGTGTTGTCATCAGCATAATTGTACACAGTGGCTGATTTAATAAAGTAAAATATGTCGTTAATAAAGATGTTAAAAATAAGAGGTCCTAGAATGGATCCCTGGGGAACTCCCTTACTTATTGACATCCAGTCACTGCAAGGTAAGTTTTGTTCTTAAGTTGGGATTTAAACGTATTGGTTTTAACCGTCTTTATATATATATATGAACCGCCTTGGGAGTGAAATGTGTGTCTACCGACACAGGTAGGGCCCCATCCACAGAAAGTGCCATATTGTTATATATATTTATGCAACATTTACACGCATAAACAAAGTAGCAGTATAGCGCATGAATTTTGCTAATTTATAGATACATGTAACATTAAACATCTATATTCAATTTGATTATGTACACTACACTTGCCCGACAAATTGTGCGCTTTAGGGCTTTTTATAATATAGACGATGGTTGCCCTTCGCAAAAAAACAGACATCTATGAACTATCAGATTATAAAATCGGTCGGTCTTGCAGTCGAAATATTGAGACTATTGGCCAATGTACTCGATTAACTTTTCAATTGTGTTTTTTTAAAGAGGTATAAATCATGTACATGCAAAGGGGGATCACTCTATGTATAGATAAACAAAAAAAAAAAATCAGTTTTTCATCTTAATCGCAGACTGATAAAATGAACGACTTAAACTCCCCAGACAGACAATTAAAACATTATTGCACAAATTTGTCTCTTGACAATTTCCTGTCTGATAGTGATTACTCAGCAACTGATACAAAATTGGTGTTTCTCTCGGGATTGATGTCTGCTATTCAAAACAAGCATGACAAAATAAACGAATGCAGTTCCTTCCATCAATTCTTTCAAAAAGGAGAGTGGAGAGCGAATTTGTTGCATTTTCTGGTAATGATACTGGTTCTTGCCATTAAACTGATGTTGTACATCATAAATTTCAAATTTAAACTTACTTATTTTCATATGAATAACAGTAAACTAAAACTCATGGCAGGTGCAAAGTCTAGGAGGCTCTTGAGTCTTTTTTTCAATTTTATGCTAAATCTTAATCTTAACAATTAGGTCTGATTATGACTAGCAGGCGCATTGTTAAGGAACTGTAAATAAAAGACACTATTTATATGTACATTTATAAAGGTAAAAGTTCTACTAGACTAATATGAAAAAGGCAAAGCCTCAATGCGAGCTCGATTTTCTTTTACTGTAAGATAACTCGATTTTTCTTTTAACCGTAAGATAAATAATCGTTCATTTTTAGCTCGACTATTCGACTAGAATAAGTAGAGCTATTGCAGTCACCCGAGCGTCGGCGTAACCACTTATGTTAAAGTTTTTGTAATAGTTCAAATATTTTCAAAGTCCATAGACATATGGCTTTGAAACTTTGCACACTTGTTCACCATCATGACCCCAACCTGTAGACAGGAGGAGGTAACTCTATCAAGCATTTTGACAGAATTATGCCCCTTTTTCGACTTAGAATTTACGTTAAAGTTTTTGTAATAGTTCAAATATTTTCAAAGTCCATTGACATATGGCTTTGAAACTTTGCACACTTGTTCAACATCATGACCCCAACCTGTAAACAGGAGGAGGTAACTCTATCAAGCATTTTGACAGAATTATGCCCCTTTTTTGACTTAGAATTTACGTTAAAGTTTTTGTAATAGTTCAAATATTTTCAAAGTCGATTGACATATGGCTTTGAAACTTTGCACACTTCTTCACCACCATGACCCCAACCTGGAAATAGGTGGAGGTAACTCTATCAAGCATTTTGACAGAATTATGCCCCTTTTTCGACTTAGAATTTATGTTAAAGTTTTTGTAATAGTTCAAATATTTTCAAAGTCCATTGACATATGGCTTTGAAACTTTGCACACTTGTTCACCATCATGACCCCAACCTGTAAACAGGAGGAGGTAACTCTATCAAGCATTTTGACAGAATTATGCCCCTTTTTCGACTTAGAATTTACGTTAAAGTTTTTGTAATAGTTCAAATATTTTCAAAGTCGATTGACATATGGCTTTGAAACTTTGCACACTTGTTCACCATCATGACCCCAACCTGTAAACAGGAGGAGGTAACTCTATCAAGCATTTTTTTTACTATCAAGCACTAAGAATAGTCGAGCGTTGCTGTCCTACCGACAGCTCTTGGTATTTTACATTTTCCGTTTTAAAATTGTGTCCAATTTGGTACTTTGGACGAAAGTTTTCAAAACCATCACTTAGCAGGTACTGGCATTACCGTAAAGCTAGCTTTGAGCAGGCCCTTTGGGCCAGCTCGTCAAGCTCGCTATTAAATTAAAGACATAGCGTGCAATTTAGAATTTGTAGAATGGGCCAAGCTTCTTAGTTAAGATGTTAAAACTGTGGCTAGACTGAACAGTTAGAGGAAGGCTATTCCAAAGACTTTATATGCTCCTAGGAAAGAAAGAATTTTGATGGTAACGGTATAATGTGTCCTCGAGGAGGGTATCAGATGTCTTGTTTGAGTAAGATGTTTGTGGTCAACAAAGACAATCATAATGTTGTTTTGGATTTTATACAAGCAGGTTACAACACTGATCTTTCAACACTGCTCAAGTGTTTGCCAATTAAGTTCATTTATCATTTTTGAGACACTACTTGTAAAGTCATAATCATTAAAAATGTATCTAGCAGCTGATCTTTGGACTTGCTCTATCTTATATATTAAGTATTTCTGCCAAAGATGCCAAACAATGGAGCAATATCTAACCTGAGGTCAAACGTATAGGTCTTATATGCAGTTTCCTATATCTTTTTATTTGGGGTTTTAACATTTCTGATGAATCTAAGGGAGTTATTTGCTGTAGATGTAATATTGTTTATATGTTTGGTCCATGAAAGGTCTTGACTAATAGTGACTCTTTGGTATTTTGCTTCATGGGTTCAGTTAATTTGAATGTTATGGAGGGTATAAGGAAATATTACAGGTTTTCTTTTTCTTGTTATCCTGAGAACTTCAACATTTATCAGGGTTAAACTCCATTGGCCAGTCTTTAGCCATATTTCTAAGCATGTAAGTCATCTTCGAGGGTTTGGGTATCTTGTTTAGATCTGATGGTTAAGTAGACAACAGTATCATCTGCAAAAAGTTTAACCTTACCTTTGACACTATCCGGGACGCCATTTATATAGAAAAGGAAAAGGCAGGGACCTTATACTGAGCCTTGGGGGACACCTGAGAGGACAGGACTAGAATTCCTAATTTTTGACCTTCAACTACAACTTGCTGGGAGTGTGACTTAACTTAAGGAAGGAATGGACCCAATTTTTAACCTCCTGACTTATATTTGTAACCTTGTGACTTGTACCTAGCCATAGTATGAATACCTTAGAATTATAGGTAACTCTGTAATACGAGACACCGATAATACCCAGTATACGTGATAAAAAAGTATTACCACATGAGCGATAAAGGATATTCATACCCACTTAATTTCCCGCTTCGAGTTTTTCCAACCTACACATTATTTATGTACTTAAATTTTTTAAAATTCAGTAGAGCAAGGCAGGGTATTATTGACCCCTAAGTTAGCACATTAAAGAACAAATGACATCTTATAGAAATTTGTGGGCACGATACATACCATACAAAGAAGATTTATTTTCATTGGTTGCAGGGGGTCGCAGTTCTAGTAGAAAAAAAACAAATCATTTCAGTTTAAAGTGTCTTGTTTTAGATAAAACATGATTTTAAAGTTTGTATTATGCATTATTCTTCAACTTGTGGCTCCCTGGATAAAAATTTACCCAATGAATACTTGGGGTATTATGTTAAATTCCCAATTTATATAAAAAGTGCATCATTTTCCCCGTTTTGTTTGTTACCATGGCTGCACCATTCCCAAGGACGGCAAAAACACTGGAAAATAACATTCATTTGATATAGAGAATTATAGACTTAAAAAAAAAAAATTTCAAAACATAATAAAACAAAATAACATAAAAAACCGTCAAAATGACAATAAATTGAATAATGCAACCAGTAAAATAAATACCATAGTTTACCCTATAGCGCAATGACATTGAGCAAATTCTATAGACATACATTAGAGTTAAACAGATCTAATGATCTTATTGTGTACATTTTATGGACATTCCTGAAAATGGCCCCTCCCTTTGGTTTTCATAGTCTTTATTGTCATGCCAAAGTTTGTTGCTGTAAAATGTATAAGCTGTTTTCATGTACAGATGAAAATAAGGATTGAATTTACTTAGGAAACCACCTTGCATGAAAATGCTCAATTTGTTAAACATGTTTTGCTAGTATTCCCAAACTAGCAAAAACAAAAACATATCAAGATTCTTTCTTTTCTTCTTGTCATTACAAAAAGTCATCACTCTCTAACTAAAGTTTGTATGTTCTGTTCCAGAAAACCTGTTTAACTGTAGAAAAGAATAGATATGTTATTTTCACTGCAAGAAAAGTACTCGCATGCCTTGTAAAGAATTTCAACTCACAGGTAAATATTTGTAATATGCTTCATATTAATGAGATTGAATTTTCTTTTACATTAAAGGCACATTATGCCTCGGAAATCAATACTTACAGTTTTAAAAGTCTTTTTTCCGTTGACTTGCCTACAGTGTTACACTTAGTTTAGCACAGTTTAACAATGTTTGTATGCAGGCCTAGACATTAACTTTTAAATCAGGTTGTCCTGTCGGGCAAGTAGGTTTTAAAACTACTTGCCCGTGACCTAAGACTTACTTGTCCTGACCTAAAAATGGTAAAAATGTATAAATCAGAAAAACAAACAAGCTCATAAATATTTTTTGTATTTAGTAGTTTTTCTAAAACATCGGTTCATCTGTTTATTCAATGTGAATACATTTGTTGATATAGGAAACGGAAGGAAAAATATGAGCATGCGCCGCGGTAAGGAAATTCCCCGTTCAATCATCAAGTCAACAGCCGTAAACGAGTCTTCGTTTACTAAGTTCATAATGTTGTTATATTAGATTAAACAATAAATCATTTTTAATGCAAAAACTTTATTTAACAATTATATTTAAAGATCAATATGATTATCTACATATTTTCAATGATATCTTTACATGCAAACATCAAAATTTAAACAACAGCATAACCCGGGAATTACCTTGTACAAAATTAGATATAGTCTATTATTAGAACAGAGAATTACCTTACCGCGGCGCATGCTCATATTTTTGCTTCCGTTTCCTTTATCAACAAATGTACATGACCGTAGTATATTCACATTATTGATAATAATTCATGGTGTATTTTTTGTTTTAAAGATGTTTATAAATGAAAAGATGTTATTTCTATTCATTTTGTACATGCATTTTGTCAATGATGCTTTTTATTTTCACTTGCCCTGTCGGACAAGTGCTTTTCAAAATAACTTGCCCGGACCAAACTTTTAGTTGTCCCGGGCAGTCGGACAACCGTTAATGTCGAGCCCTGGTATGTAACATAAATGATGTCACATCAAATTGTTGTCACACTATTGTAACATCTTTTTATGCCTCCACAAAGTGGGACCATATAGCGTTGCACTTGTCCGTCCGTCCGTACATCTGTCCGTCCATCTGTACGTCCCTAAATCTTGTGAACACAACTTCTCTTAAACCGGATGGCAGATTTTGCCTAAACTTCCAGGGATGAACAGCCTTAACCTTTTCCCTTATATAAGCGTGTTTCGACGGCTTTTTGCCCCCCTCCTTTTTGAGGCCTCAAACAGTGAAAAAATGCCCTATTTAGGCCCCAAACACTGTCTTTCGTTTGAGAAATGTTGTTAAAAAAAGTGACCATTTTTTCGGCGCCGTCCCCCATCCAAATATTACATCAGGGGGTTGCCAGAAGGGGGATGTGCCCCCTTCTGTTTGGGGGGTTTGAAGGGGGGCGGAGTCCCCCTCATCGCCAAGCAAATTTTGGACTTGTGAGAGGCTGAAAATGACCCAAGGTCGATCATAATGTAACGTGTAACCAACGCTGAAAAGCCTTTAACTCTATCTCATTCCCTTGAGAAGTTGCATCACTTTGAAATAAATTTTGATGGAAAAAATCGAGGCAAAAAAAGTGATTTTTGGCAATTTTGAGATGTCCCCTCGTTGCCATGGTAACAGGAAATTTAAGACTGAGCATGTCGTTACAAAGGCAATGGTCCAGTCAACATTTGTGCCAAGTTTGATTAGTATTGAAAGCATTTTTCATAGTTTCATAGCAGTTTGAACTTGTAACAGGAGGCTTTTCAGTGAAAATGGCCATTTTTCACAATATGCTCATGGGGAAAAGGGTTAACTAAAAAAATTATAAATGTTACAAAACAACAATTTTTCACCAAAATTAGTTAAAAGACCACATGTTAACATGGAAAAACTAGATTTTGGGTGATTCCAAGGTTTTTCATCATTTTTGTTAACCTTTTCCCTTATATAAGCGTGTTTCGACGGCTTTTTTTGCCCCCCCCCCCTTTTGAGGCCTCAAACAGTGAAAAAATGCCCTATTTAGGCCCCAAACACTGTCTTTCGTTTGAGAAATGTTGTTAAAAAAGTGACCATTTTTTTCGGCGCCGTCCCCCATCCAAATATTTACATCAGGGGTTGCCAGAAGGGGGATGTGCCCCCTTCTGTTTGGGGGGTTTGAAGGGGGGCGGAGTCCCCCTCATCGCCAAGAAAATTTTGGACTTGTGAGAGGCTTAAAATGACCCCAGGTCGATCATAGGTAACGTGTAACCAACGCTGAAAAAGCCTTTGACTCTATCTCAGTCCCTTGAGAAGTTGCATCACTTTGAAATAAATTTTGATGGAAAAAATCGAGGCAAAAAAGTGATTTTTGGCAATTTTGAGATGTCCCCTCGTTGCCATGGTAACAGGAAATTTAAGACTGAGCATGTCGTTACAAAGGCAATGGTCCAGTCAACATTTGTGCCAAGTTTGATTAGTATTGAAGCATTTTTCATAGTTTCATAGCAGTTTGAACTTGTAACAGGAGGCTTTTCAGTGAAAATGGCCATTTTTCACAATATGCTCATGGGGGAAAGGGTTAATGTGGTAGTAAAGGAAGGAATTTTTGCTGCGACCAAATTTAACAGAATTATGGCCCTTTGTTGATTTTTTCACTATATACTATGTAGAAATTTGTGACCGCAACTCCTCTTATAACGGATGGCAGATTTTGCTTAAACTTCCAGGGATGAACAACCTTAATGTGTAGATAGTATTAAAGGAAGGAATTTTTGCTGCAACCAAATTGAAGAGAATTATGGTGGCCCTTTGTTGATTTTTAGTTTTCAACTTGTGGCACATGTTGTCCAAAAAATATTTGACCCAAAGTCATAAGATTGACAGAACAGTAGCGTGTTGGGGCATCTGTGTCGTATGGACACATCTGTGTCGTATGGACACATTTCTAGTTTATAAATTAAAATGGCTTTATTAACTCCTGCAGCTTGATTTTTGTGTCGGCTTAAAAAAGGCAACATATAGGGGTTACTTTTGTCGTCGGTAGCTGGCAGAGGCTGCGGCGACGTCCCTTAGGTTTGTCCAGAGCATAACTTAGTCGCTATAAATCGGATTGACTCCAAACTCGGTATGCGTACTTCTTTCAGTGACCAAAAATGCAGTGCACAAGAATCATTACCCTGCACTTCTTAATTTTTGACTTATTGCCCTTTGTTAATTTCATACGGGCCATTTCTCTTAAACTATAAAATCTTTGAACTTGAAACCTTATAGGATGATAGTTCTCATTAAAAAGAGGTGCAGTGCACAAGAACCGGTACTCTGCACTTGTTATTTTTTGAGTTATTGCCATTTGTTTTTTAAAATTCATACTTTATTTTTGTTCAGGCTATTTCTGCTAAACTATTAAAGCTATGGACTTGAAACTTCATAGGATGATAGATCTTATTGAGATGAAGTACAGTGCACAAAAACTGGTACTCCATAATTTTTGAGTTATTGCCCTTTGTTAATGTTCATACTTTATTTTTGTCTCGACCATTTCACCTAAACTATAAAAACTATGGACTTGAAACTTCATATGATTAGATAGATCTCACTGAGAAGAGGTGCAGTGCACAAGAACCGGTACTCTGTACTTCATAATTTTAGAGTTATTGCCCTTTGCTAATTAGTAATTATTATACTTTATTTTTGTCCAAACCAATTGTCCTACACTTTAAAAGCTATTGACTTTTGAGAAGAAGTGCAGTGCACAAGAACTTGTACTCTGCACTTCATGATTTTTGAGTTATTTCCCATCTGTAAATTTCGTTACGTAATAGGCTTGTCCAGAGCATAACTTGGTCACTATAACTTTGATTGATTCCATATTTGGTATGTTAGCTTTTTTCATTGACCTGAAGTGCAGTGCTTAGAATCCATTACAGAGTCCTCCATTTGATCTGTCAGTGTAAAATTTTTTCCATGTTATTTTTATTTTTGATATTATAACAGTTTTATTAATTCTGATGTAACATTGTTACAATCAGTTCAAATGCGACTAGAATTCAAGGTACATGTACATTGTAAGAGCGGTGTTTATAAATAACCTATATTTATGAAGAAGAATGCCCAATTGACAGCTGTACTGTTCACAAGGGTATACAACCGACTCGCAGGGTTCTAGTTGTGATAAATACATGTATGTTTTGCATTTCAGGAAGGAATGAAAGTAATACAACAAATATTTGATACCAATGATCATCTTGAGGAAATTCATACAGGACTACAAATCTGTAAAGTTTTATTTTCTAAGAAAAATGCAAACCATGAAGATATGGTCTGTCAGCTGGGACCTTTAGTAACTAGAGCATGGCAAACTTTAACAACTATGATTCGGGATGATAACGTATATAATCAATGCTTGTTAGAATTATTTTCTGTGTGTATAAAACTTGCAAAAATTGTTTTGACAAAAACTATGACGAATGAACCTGCGCTTATTTTAAAAGCTATACTCGGCAATGGAGAAGATTTTAATCAAATTCTGTTTGACAAATCTATTAAAACATATGTGAAGACAAAACTAATGAATTTTTTATATGTTATTATGAGAGAGAGTGATTTAACAAACATTACAATGTTAAGTGATGAGATTTTCAGCATTTCTGTTTCTCTATTTAACAAACTATTATCCTGTGATATGCCAAGCATTTTAAAGAAAAGTGGACGGACAACATTTATTGGGAATTCTCAAGATGTAACTGATGGTATAACATGTGACATTGGCCACATCAGAGACTGGACGTTCCTGTGTTTATGTTTATCATCTTGTTTAATACATCAGGAAGGTATGTGCTGTTTTAAATAATTATCCCCCGCCGATAGATCGGGGGATATTGTTTTGGCGTTGTCCGTCCGTCCTTCCTTCTGCACTCACAGGACAGTAATTATGTGGCTAGAAGGACAATAGGTAACTGTTCTTGATGCATATCTATAAATGGCCAGCACTGATGCATATCTATAAATGGCCAGCACTGATGCATATCTTTTTTCAGCCAGCATTGATACAAATCTTTAAATAGCCAGCACAGATACATATCTATTTTCAGCCAGCTCGATACATATCTGTTACAGCCAGCACTGATATATATATATGTTAATGGCCAGGACTGATGCATTTCTATTTACAGCCAATACTTATACATTATTTATTTAAGACCAGCACTAATTCATATCTCTAGAGAGAGTACTTATACATATATGTTAACAGTCAGCACTGATACATTTGTATCAATTCTTAGCCAGCACTGTAATTGTTTGAATTCTACAATAAATGATAACATATGAGCCGCGTCATGACAAAACCAACATTATAAGTGTGTTTGCGACCAGCATGGATCTAGACCAGCCTTCGCATCCGCGCTGTTCACTATCAGTTTCTCTACTTGTTATAGAGTTGTAAGTGAACAGAATGGATCCGGATCAGACTGCGCGAGTGTGCAGGCTGGTCTGGATCCATGCTGGTCTCAAACCCATTATGTTGGTTTTGTCATGACGAGGCTCGTATGCATTATTAAATATCAGCTTGTCTGATGCATAAATTCTTAACACTGATGCAAATGACTTCCCTTTCTTTAGATTTTAAGGACCAGGTTGAAATTTTCCTTACAAGAACAGATGACTGTGTGACACAACTGTTGGATGAAAACAAACTGTCGGTGACCCCATGGTTACCAGACATTAACATATCATTTCTATGGTTACCAGATATCTATGGAGATCAAGATGATAAGTGGATTGATGCTATGATATTACTAATGGAAATTTATTCATTAGAGAGAAAACAATCTAGGTAAGGTATAATCAATAATAGTATAGTGAGGAATGAAAATTTTGTCAGGAATACACTCCTATGTTTATTAAAATGTGCAAGAAAACAGGAAACACAGAAAAAATCCTAAAAAAAATTTAACAATTTTTTACAGAATTATTTTTTATGCCACCGCAGCATCTGCGATGCGGTGGCATATAGCGATTCATCTGTGTGTTTGTTTGTGTGTGTGTGTGTGTGTGTTATATAGATTATATAGTGAACTTAAAAAATCTTCTTGTGAAAAACCACTAGTCCAATTTAAACCAAACTTGGCAGGATTGATCCTTGGGTGAAGGGCTTCCAAAGTTGTTCAAAGAATTTCATTCCATGCAGAAATCTGGTTGCCATGGCAACCGAAAGGAATTATAAGAATAAATTTAAAAAATCTTCTTGTAAAGACTCAAAAGGCCTAGAGCTTAGATATTTTGCATAAGGCTTTGTCTGGTAGACCTCTACCAAGATTGTTCAAATTATAGCCCTGGGGTCAAAATCGGCCCCGCCCCAGGGGTCATTAATTTTAACTATATGTACATATAGTAAAAACTAAAAATACCTTCTTGTAAAGACCCAAAAGGCGTAGAGCTTAGATATTTTGCATAAGGCATTGTCTGGTAGACCTCTACCCAGATTGTTCAAATTATAGCCCTGGGGTCAAAATGGGCCCCGCCCCGGGGGTCATTGATTTTCACTGTATGTACATATAGTAAAAACTTAAAATACCTTCTTGTAAAGACCCAAAAGGGCTAGAGCTTAGATATTTTGCATAAGGCATTGTCTGGTAGACCCTTACCAAGATTGTTCAAATTATAGCCCTGGGGTCAAAATCGGCCCCGCCCCAGGGGTCATTGATTTTCACTATATGTACATATAGTTAAAACTTAAAATACCTTCTTATAAGGACCCAAAAGGGCTAGAGCTTAGATATTTTGCATAAGGCATTGTCTGGTAGACCCTAACCAAGATTGTTCAAATTATAGCCCTGGGGTCAAAATCGGCCCCGCCCCAGGGGTCATTGATTTTCACTATATGTACATATAGTTAAAACTTAAAATACCTTCTTATAAGGACCCAAAAGGCCTAGAGCTTAGATATTTTGCATAAGGCATTGTCTGGTAGACCTCTACCCAGATTGTTCAAATTATAGCCCTGGGGTCAAAATCGACCCCGCCCCGGGGGTCATTGGTTATCCTTATATGTATATAGTAAAAACTTACAGTAAAAACTTTAAAAAAATCTTCTAGTAATTGACAAATGCTAGAGGTAAGATATTTTGCATGAAACATTGTGTAGTGAAGCTCTAGCAAGATTGTTAAAATTATAGCCCTGGGGTCAAAATTGGCCCCACCCCTAGGGGTCATTGATTTTCACTATGAACATAGAGTAAAAAATTAAAAAATCTTCTTATCTGAAGGTACAAGGCTTAAAGCTTTGATATTTGGTATATAATATCATCTTTGGGTCCTCTACTAAAGTTGTTTTAATTATGCCACTAGTGTTGAAATTGCCCAGAGGCGCTAGATTTCTTTATATGTATAAAGTAAAAACTTGAAAAATCTTCTTCTCTGAATTGACAAAGGCTAGAGTTTAAATATATGGCATGAGACTTTGCGAAGTGAACCTCTACCAAGATTGTTCAAATTTTAGCCTTGGAGTCAAAATTGGTTCTGCCCCGGGGGTCATTGATTTACACTATGTATATCTAGTTGTTTGGTGGACCTGTATCAAGATTGTTTTGGATTAAACCCTTGGGTCAAAATTTTGCCTTGACCAATGGGACAGTGACCTACTTTCTTGTCCTTTGATGTACAGCAATGAAATTTTGACCATGTTCACAGTTTTAGTTGTAAAATTGAACTTTGATATCAGGTGACCTAGATTTTGATAATGTGACCTACTTTCTTGTGCTTTGATCTACAGCTATGAAATTTGAACCATGTGCACAGATTAAAATGTAAAGTGGACTTTGATATCAGCTTACCTAGATTTTGACAAAGTGTCTTACTGTGTTGTCCTTTGATGTAGTCATGAAATTTAGTCTGCATGAAATATGATCTTCACCACCAAATTCACTAGACTCAAGTGCATTGATATATTCCTGCTCTGATCTTTTATTTGATTAACAATAGATTTAATCACTAATCTGATAATAAGAATTAGATAGGTCAGGGATATCTATGCATTATGACAATCTTCAATTGTATAGAAACAAAAAAAAATATGTTCCTACACTACTATTTAGTGTTGTATTAATGCGGTGGCATAGCATTTTTCTCAAATGCAATCTTGTTTTCAAGATAAACACTGTAACATCATAATTTGATGATATGGTAAGAAATCGTGCATAATGGTTTATGATCAGAATGGAAAATTACATGCAAAACATGAAATATTAATAAATACTAGAAAATGTGTTCATTTAACATAAAAGATCCAATACTATTCTTTTTAAACACACACCATTTGTTATATTTTCACAGGTGGTTTTGCCATCATGAAAATTTTGCAGCTTGTGTTCTGTCTGTAAAATATTATTTGATCTGAAATGAAAAAAACAAATTAACAAAAACAAAACACAAATATCTGCAGAAGGTATAAGGTACATGTATGAAATACAATATCAATTAAATATAACCTGCAGAATTTGTTTAGTTGTTTCTGAATGTGGAACTGTGGAGTCAAGATTTAAGATATATCAATATCAAAATAATGAAAATCAAGCTTCCAAGAGTATAAGATTTGGTCTGAATACGCAAATATGCATCCTTGGGTCAGGCTCTTTACTTGTGGCAAAGGGTTATCAATTCTGAGTCATGCAGGCCAAGAGTTAAGCTTTTACTTCATTTGTGTAATTTCTTTACATTTCATATTTTAATTACTATGAGTTTTGTAGATATTAGCAGAAACATCATATTGCAACCATAAATATTTCAATATTAATTCTTGATCATTGTGGTTATAATTTTTAGCTCGACTATTCGCAGAATAATCGAGCTAATTCAGTCACCCATTTGTCGGCATTGACATCCCTGTGGTTAAGTTTTTGCATGTAAGCTGGTATCTCCATAACTTCTGAAGGGAATGGATTGAAACTTCACACACTTGTTCTCCTCTGTGATTATCTAACATGATTGGCACAAGTCCCATAACTCTGATTTGCTTTTTTGCATATTTATGCACCTTTTTCGGCTTAGAAATGTCTCCATAACTACTGAAGGGTTTGTGCCTTTTTTTTGGAACAATTTTATGCATTCATAATAATAAAGCAGTGGTTAACTGGATAAAACATCTTAATAACAAGCCTTTGTACCTTTTCGGACAATTTTATGTATTCATATAGGTAAGCATTATTATACTCCATGAAACACACTTGTGACAACTTTTCGAATAGTCGAGCGTTACTGTCCTCCGACAGTTCTTGTTAGGAATGAATTACGTCTATTGTATACTTGGCATGCAGCTAGAATTTTCTTTTCTTTTCAGTTTATATACAGAGCAATTTTTGGACCAGCATCATTTGCACTTTTTGCAGTTTGTCAGAACTCTTGGATATGACCATCTTGTCCTAATTGACCTATTAACATCACCTGAAACAAATTGTCTTGCATACCTAATGAAATATTTGAAGTACTTGCTTTTAACCTGGAATGATTTCATTACTATTATTAGTCAAATTCAATATGCACAAAATGCAGAATTAGCTGATAGTAAAGATGAATACTATAATGCAAATGAAAATGCTGATGTAGCAAACTTAGGCCAATATGATATGACTTCCTTACAATATAGATTATCTAAGGATGGGGAAGAACTACATGAAAATGTTAAAGATGATGTTACTGAAGTTAAACTTGATTATGTAGTAAAAGCAAATGAGTTATGTGTGGATCACCAGAAAGAAGGTGATGAAAGTCTTGAAATAGGCAGTGATAAGAGGAGTAATGATCAGTTACTTGCTTCTTCGAGCTTATTGTTAATTGCTGATGCATATGATGATGTTGATAATGATAGTGATAACAGTGACGATGAAAATAGAATAATGTATACATTTGATAAAAACAAATGCAGCAACATACATGAGGCAGAAATTAAAGTTTCAATGCAAAAGAAAGAATTTGATGAATTTCATTCAACTAAAACAGTTTTACATCTTACAAAGTCTCCATCACAAGTTAATGCAGGCAAAGTCTCACCACCCGAAGATACAATTATACAACAAGAGGAAAAGATTTCTAATGGATGTGAAGAAAACAATGTGTTAGAATTTGGTAGCACTGAATCTGGTGCTGAAATTGATAATGTTTCACTGGTTTTAAGTATAACAGAAGAGGATAATGAACATAACTTGGATGTTGGCAAAGGTTGCATAGCTGATGATTCTCATGACATACTTGACAAGGTGATTGGAATGATTATAAGAACAAGGTTACAGCTAGAGAAACTCAGTGATTCTAGTTTGATGAAATATAATCCACAAGTATTGGTAAACTTGATTGAATCTGTTGAGGAACTTTATGAAAAGAACTGAGTGAAAAGTTTAAAGAGAATGTACATGTGATATTGATTTTTTACACAGATTTTTCATTTTAGTTATAAAATCAGTATATAGGCTCAAAAAAAAAAATCTACTGAAATGTATGAAGTAAAACAAAACTGAGACTCTATTAATCTATAGAATTATCTTGTGGCAAATTGGCAAAGTTCGACATTTTATATATTTTTCAAAAAATGAAATCTCTAAAAATGTTAGCAACCATTACATTTACTACCAGTGCAGCAAAGTTGATGAAATGGAGCTGATTTAGTTAGGGGCAGTGGTAATTGAACATTGATAATTTCATCTACATTGTATTTGAATGTATGTTTTGTATTTTTGATGTGCGATCCATCCACAGGTTGCCATCCTTATTTCACTTTAACAGTTATTTTAATATAGCTGAATTTTGGTTTTTGGGAGAATGTTTGTCAGCTAAGAAGGTTAGATTAGAGGAAATTAGCCAAGATAAATGACATATTTTAGAGTAAAAAAAAGAAGAAAAAAGATGAAAAGTCAAACATTATCAAAATGATAGGTCATCTTAATAAATTTTTGAACGGATTTGAAAATGACAATGTTATCTTTATATTGTAAGTTTTCACAACCCAACAATGATGTATCAATGTTTAATGGATGATAATATCAAGTTTCTTAAAAGAGTATTATTTTTGTTCCATGTACGATTACATTTGAAAAAGAATATGCTCTGCATTTTCAATCACAATATCACATTGACAAAAAGGGTCAGGGTCGCAAATGGTTATCATATAAATAGTTATTTAGCCCTTTCCCTCATGAGCATATTGTGAAAAATGTCCGTTTTCACTGAAAAGCCTCATGTTACAAGTTCAAACTGCTATGAAACTATGAAAAATGCTTCAATACTTATCAAACTTGACACAAATGTTGTTTAATGACTCGACCATTGCCTTTGTAACGACATGCTCAGTCTTAAATTTCCTGTTACCATGGCAAGGAGGGGACATCTCAAAATTGCCAAAAATCACTATTTTGCCTCTATGTTTTCCGTCAAAATTTATTTCAAAGTGCTGCAACTTCTCAAGGGATTGAGATAGAGTCAAAGGCTTTTCAGCGTTGGTTACACGTTACCTTATGCTCGACCTGGGGTCATTTTTAGCCCCTCACAAGTCCAAAATTTTCTTGGCGATGAGGGGGACTCCGCCTCCCTTCAAACCCCCCAAACAGAAGGGGCCACATCCACCTTCTGGCAACCCCCTGATGTATCTTTTGGATGGTGGGCGGCGCAGAAAAAAGTGCTCACTTTTTTAGCAGCATTTCACAAACGAAAACATGTGTTTGGGGCCAAAATAGGACATTTTTTCACTATTTCAGTCCTAAAAGGGGGGGGGGGGGTCGAAAGTGTGTTGTTTTGCGTATATATGAGGTAAAGGGTTAAATTACTGCAATTATTTTTTTTAAACGTGTATGCAATATTGATCAGTATCTCTATCAGTTATATTACAATACAGTACATTAAATTTTAATGACTAAATGAACTGTTAAACATCAAATGCATATTTTAAAGTTTATATGCATGTTAAAGTTATCATTGTTGCCTTAATAGATTTTTTTTCTGTAATATTGTTTTCTGGGAAGGGCTTAATCTAATGTTGTAAGAACTTGTTGCCTAACCCATTTGCATTTTGATATGATATACTCATCATTTGTATAATATGTTTGTTAACATGTATTTGATGCATTAAAATATGTTTATTGTAGTTAATGAATATTTTGATCTAAATTAGCTATATTTAAATAAAATAGAATTGTCAATGTTCAGTGATCACTGCTTTTCAATTTAGATAGTATTGCTTTTAAGCAATATAGTCTTCAAAAATTGCTCTCAATAAACCTGTCTTTAATATATTGTATGTACGTAATATGTTCCTTCAGCCGCAGAAATCTTGTTTTATATTAACTTCTGGAAGGAAAGTAAACAAAAAATTGATAATCATGATCATAGACTTGTTTTAATTAAATGACCTTATTAACTCACACCTATTACTGGTTTAAGTTAGCAATATTCAATTTTCAACACTAGATGTGAAAAAAAACCTCTAAACGAAATAGACTTATTTAACGCATTTTTCAAGGCAGTATAATAGAAATACTAAAGATATTTATATTTTTTTAGCTCATCTGAACAAAGACTACGGCAAACAATTGCGTCTGTCACCGATGAATGATCTAACAACGACTCAAACGAAAATATATCATATTTAACAAAGTGCCATTATGCTAATTTTTGTGTCGCCTTGGAAAAGGCGACATATAGGGGTTACTTTTGTCGCTCTGCTGCTCTGCACTTCTTATTTTTTGAGTTATTGCCCTTTGTTAATTTTCATATTTCATTTTTGTCCTGGCCAATTCTCCTTAACTTTATTGTTCACAAGGCGACACATCCGGAGTTGTAGTTTTATTGTCAAATTGACTTTAATTGACTATATATTTCAATAAACTGGTCATTATAATGGTGATTGACCAACACATGATATTTGAAAATGTTTAAAGTAAAAAATAAATCTACCTGAAAAGACTGCCCCACTCTTATATATTTATAAATACATTCCGAGGGATAATTACACACATTCCGCTGGGCAAAGTGAGTTATTTATCGTTCATGTGAAGTAAATTATAAAATTGAAAGGAATTATGAGAAAATGTTTACTTATTTTGACTTTCACTTGTTCACTCTATATCTACCCATGGATGATCACAATGTCACTAAATTGTTTCATAAAGTGTCAGATAGCCAAGTTAATACAAGTTAGAGCTGCCAGTACACATTTGTAATATACTGTAAAGTTTGTCTTTGCTAATCCTTACCTTAGAACATCAAGCTTGCATACGTAAGAGACTAGCAGACGTTGAATTTTTTTTACAGAAAACTCCTGAAACACATGGCATTAGGACAATCATAAATAAAATGAATGGTTGTAGTCTTTTTAAAAACTTCTGTCCATATTCAGAAGGATTTAGCTTATCTTCCTGTGCGTTGCTTATAACAGAATATGAATAGTACTTCAGGCATTGTTCAGAGTGTCTCCTACAATTATTGGGCCGCCCAATGAGAAAACCAATATAGTGCAGAAAATGACGTCACCCAGAAAACGTTGTTTGAATCTGACGTCTAAATATGAACGCTTTTTATCTATTTACCGCGTACACAATTCCTACGCGCGTCTTCTCGCTCACTATATCTCGCGTATCGATATACATGTATTTTCTACGCAGGACAGAAATCCCTAAAATACATGTATGAATAAAACGTTTTCATGAAACCATTAAATTACATAATGTTTAAATTATAGGTAGCTCTACTTTAATTTACGAACTGAAACGTCATGCCCGCCCACTGACTCTAGCCTAAGCAGTAAATTGTGGCTTATTAATAATCTATCATGCGTTCGTTTATTTGCGATAACTACTTTTTTGGAATAATTATTCATTTTATTAATAAAAGTATTTGTATCTATCTTTTAATATAGCAAGATTGACATTCAAAATACACTTTAAGTGCTAAGTAATTTATAAATGTTATCAGTTACGTAATTTGGTAATAAATCATATAATGTCTGTATCCCATGTATTTTTATTATTTCAAATAATTGTTCAGCTTGTATTCCAGTAAGATATTAAGAAGAGATATATTTAGTTACTGTCAATATCAAAAATGAAAGCTTTTCGAGTACGTTTTTATCATTGCAGGGAAGTTCATCCCTGTCTTCTTGAACACCTTTTTAGTCAACATGTAATCATGGTTAATGATATTTTTGTAGTGGTATATAAATGTATAAACACAAAGTATAACGATCCGTAACGTCTCTGCCAAGCCCCTAGGCAGGAGATTAACAACTGGATGACAGCAATTAATGTTTTGATAAGGGCAGTACACTACAGCCAATAAAGTTTGAAACTGACAAAAATATATTCCGGGGGGGGGGGGGGGGGGGGGCTGCAGCCCTGAAGCCCGGGCCTGAATCCGCCACTGAAACCTGTTGTTTAGCACAGATTTAAATAATCATGGGCTTACTAAAAGCATGTATATCTATAAAGAATAAAACGATATTAGAAATCTTCCACCATTCGGACACTATTTTGCTTGAAAATTAATGCGCCTGTCATTTGACAATCTTTACTCAGTGATCTCCCCTGAATTTTTCAGTGTAAGTGTACATATATGTATAAAGGCAAGTAACCGCTTCAAAAAAGCGGACTACTTTCGGCATTTGCAATTAAAAGCATCAGGGTCTGAAATTCATTATTTGTTTGGTCTGACGACCCAACCAAATAAAACCTAGTTCATCAGATAGTTAAAATGATAATGATCATCAAAATGAATGTAAAATAATTAAAGATTTATAAAAGATATGGTCCCAAACGATTTTCAAGACCACTGTTAAGAAAATGAAGAACATTTATAAATGTCTATTAGAAAGGCATGAAAATTCTGAAGGTGCTAACTTATCCACCAAATCAATTTACAAAAGCAAAAAACAAACAAAAAAACCCCCAAAAAACATCAGACTATTTTACGTTAAAAGAAAAGATGACTGTAGTCAACTCAGTAAATCAGATAAAAACAACACTTGTGTGGGATCTTAGAGAGCTCCCATCTTGTACTCATTGTAGGCCAGAAAAAACGATATTTTATAAAGTTTACACTGTAATGGACTATCTATATCAACAATTTTGTTATTTTCAATGAATTAGAAATAGAAAGAGCATCGAAACACGAGGCTATCTGATTTGCACGAAGGGGCGTAGCCCCCCGAGTATTAATCAGATTGTCGAGTGTTTAGATGATCTTTCTCTTTTGTATCATAGTCCAACATAAAAACACGTTTCCTGTTGTCACAATGTGAAACCCCGGCAAAAAGGAACCAATGAATGAACATCTGAATATGATATTTCTGTCGCTTTCCTTTTCTCTGCCGTCACAATATGTCAACCCAAGCAAAAATCAGCCTATCAATGGGCATGCTCTGGAGTGCGGGTAACTTACACATGCATTCTGCCTGTATATGTATACGTTTTAACTCTGACACATTTGCAACAGATGGGTCCCCAAGGCCCAAACTATGATACAAGTGTCATTATAAGACCTTGATCTGGATATGTAGTTGAGACAAGTAACCCGTATGAGGACATTACGCAAGCAATAAAACCAGCAAAATATAAACATATACAGAAAAAACCCGAAACGTTTCGTTTTACAAACACGCATGACTTCAATTTAATTTAAAGCTTTAATACATTTAACAGGAGATGAAAGTTCTCATGCATGAATAAAGCATTAACTTAAATTTCAGTACGCTCCTTGTGTTTTACATCGCACATTTTGCTAATAATTTGCTCCTAAATTGTTAGATTTTCCTATTGATTAGATCAGAATGCTTCAAAATGGTTTACCAAACATTCTTACTTGTTTGTTTTTGTCCCAACCAGCTATAAGCACGTAAACAACATGTAAACAATAAAGAAGATAAATGAATATAACAACAATTAAGCTAGAGAGCGATCCAGTAACAAGCTAGACGATGGACTCTAGATACGTTCGGTCATTGACAGAACCGAAACCTCAAAATGCATTGTATTAAGTTTAGAAAAAATCAGATGAGAGAAGAATACCATGCATATGAAGTCAATCATAAAAACAACACTCGTGTTAATAGTATTCTTCATTGTTTAATTTTCATTATTTTAGCAATTTTATACAACATTTTCCTTTGTACGTGTACATTTAGCGACTGCTAAATAGAAAACAACACAACTAATGTACTAACAACTGGATACATTTAAACGTGTGTGCTTTATTGACACAATGTTACCCCCGTGTTATAAGTATGTTACGGCATTATGGTATATATATTTACGGTTTATGTAAATATATTATTTTTTATTAAAGTTTTAACGTAACGGTTGGGGTTTTATCTATCTAATCACAACCGTTTATATAAGAACATATAACCTGTCAAAAATCTTTATAAACTGGGCAAAATGAAAAAAGCACCGTTTCAATTCATGAAAATAATGTAGCTACATGTACTTTTATCTTGGAAATAGGTTTTTCTTGAGAAATAGAGAAAAAATTGTAGACTCTGTTTGACTTATACAGCAGAAGAAAGGCAACATCTGTTACACTCTCACCAACCAGTCTAACAACTCCGGTTTAAACAGTATTCAAACCCCTTGATTAAAAAATATATGAATAAATAAACTTTAATTGAAGGACCAGAAAGATACAACACTATTTAAGTACAGGACATGTTTTACAATTTCCAAGATCTTTCATGCATGGCTAAAATCAGTCAGCCTCCAATCATATTTACATCCTATTCAATAAATACTGGAACATATCCATTATTTATAAAACCAGTTTATTGCGAGTTTTGTGTGTTAGATCATTGAAAATAACTGTTTTAAAGCGTGTCTATTTTAGAGAATGATGGACCTGAAACTGATTTTATTAATTTATCACTGTTTATTCTATGCGATACCGACGACAACGGTTGCAAGTGAGTTCTATAAATTTATAAAGTTATCTTTTATCTATATTTGTTTCATTTTTATACAGAAAACGCATCATTTCTAATTTTGAAGTTATCTTGGATTTTTTAAAGCAATATCTTACTTAAATTGTGCTGTTCTATGCATTATGTATCAAAGTTACAAGCTCAATATGTAGAACAGTACTTTGCTTGATAATTGATTTAAAATTTTAATTTTAGGTCGGAAAAAGAGAGATAAAATAAAGGTATTTTTACAGTCATTTCGGCTTTGCCGTTCGCACACTTTAACCTTGATCCATGAACTTTTTAGGTTCTTGTGTACTGTCTTTATACTTGGCCGCAACAACTCTTGAGAAAAGACCTTGAAGTAGACCTGACTTACCTTGACATTCTTTTATAAATGACCTTGGCATTC